TTGAATGAAAGCGGGCCAGACCATTAAAAATCATCAGGGTGGACGATACGGCCGGCGGAGATGTACAGAATGCGTGGTAAAGCTTCTCAAATATACACAATATTTTAAACGCCACAGAAGGAAAAAGAACAACAGACAATGGATGCCAGTAAAATCCCTGGTTTCGCTCCAAACTGGGAGCAGCCATCTTTCCAAGGGCGCGAACACTCGCGAACCCAGCAAACTCTGTTCCCCTCACGGCAGTAACTGAAACAATGTTTGTTTGTGTCCCACATCTTTGGAACCTAATTGCGTTATATATCGATATATATCGATATATAACGATAGCACGATAGCACCTGTACGTTTTTTAACGCATGCAACTATTCAACCGTTTATTTTTTAAACGGTAAACAAAACTTACAAACTTACTCAAAGTTGCAAGAGGTGCACGCAAGTCTTGAAAGTCTTGAAATAAATTTCCACAATTTCCAGATGTTTGACATGTCATTATATATTATTAATTATTAATATTGTCATATTAGAGTTATTAAAAAGGTAAACTATGTTGCATTGTCGTTTGCCTTTTAAAACTCATAGCACAAGTTGTTCAAAAACTTTAGGGTCCATTGACATGAAATTTAGAGATTCATGAACAGGAAACAAATTTTTATCCGGCACCATCACCAGGTCAAACGTTTTAATCAGTCCAAATAACCATATAGCCAATGTCAGACTGCTAATTCATAAAATATATGAATAAATTCCTTGTGGGTGTGAGGTGAATTAGGCTGCTGGCAATTTTAATCCAGGCAAATACAATATCTGTGCAATGTGGGGAAGTTTTATGACCATAGAGGCTTTTGCAGGTTCCTTTTAATGTAAAAAGTGCAGAAAGCCTTTGTGGAACACTAAAGCAATGACGGACTGTCTAACGGCGCTAACAACAAGATGAACGTTAAAACATTAAGGTGGATTTCTGCAATAACTGCTACTGGTGCATTGGGAATATGTTGGCTATCACTCTTGTTTTAATAATGTATGAGAAAGCCAAAGTGATGATTTCTCCAACTTCTCAGATTGCCTTGAAAAATTACATCAAATACCTAAATTGTTTTTACAGGGATCTGTTCTTCATTTTTACTTAATAAATGTTATAACCCCAATAGAATTAGTCCCTTCGCATGCGTGTTATTTTAAAAATCTTTATAGTTTGGCATTAGGTTTCGGCTCGTAATAACTTTGAGGTGTTTTTTCTGTTTCCCACGTCGAAGAGCGGACCAGCCTGCAGGACAGAAATGTGAGCTCACAGCTTCAGCGAGTCAGAGAATCTCTCCACAGCCCTCCTGTTCCCATAACTCTCTGACATAATGTTATTTTTGTCCTCGTTGAAGTGGAGTCATAACCTGGTAACACTAAATAATACCTCGTCTGTTTCTCTCACAGCTTCAGTACCCCAGTTTTGGTCATAAAACCTCGTATTTATCTTCGTGTGTCACAAAAAACGGCAACTGCAGTCACTAAGCGGATGGATCACCCAGAGAATTACCATTTATTTTACCGCGGTTCACAGAGGGATGGTATCATTAATCACTGAGTCTGGCAACCAGACAAACATGAATCAAAGAGTTATCCTCATAGAGTGAAAGATTCATATTTTGGTTAAACAATTTTCCGTAAAGCATAAATAGAATAACTGTGTTTGGTTTACTACATCTTGTCACCAGCCTTTTTTCAACAGTGAGTTTTTGTTACTTCATGGATCATAGTCTGTAGTGCCCCAGGTTATCATTGGAAATACATGTTTTTATACATGGGAACGAGGCGGATGGATGGGGATGAGATTTGGTAAACATATTCATGGTCCCCAGAGGCTGGATCCACATGACTTTGTCTGTCCCCTGTCCTTTCCCATAGCGCCACCCTAAGATTGACATTTTTAGTGTTGTTTTAGAGTGAAATGTGGTACAGAGATCGATGTTGCATCTGGATGAATGAACTAACTTCTGATATCTCTTCACGCATGAAGAGCTACAAGCGGATTGACTTCAGCAGTCTTCTTAAAGATTAGCAGCAACAAAGAATCCAAATGGCCACCATGAATTTTAAATGTGTGTTTTTTTGTCAAATTTAATCTGACCTCATTGTGAGTAAACACCTGGCCTTGTGTTTAGTGCTATATAAAGTGCTTGATAATCTGGTGGCCAAAGGGCTAAAGCTGCAAACCGTTATCCTTCCAGAATTATACTTAACTGAACAAATGATTTCACTTGCAGACCAACTGGAGATCTAGTAGCTCTCATATAGGAACATTTTAGTGTATGCATGTATCTGAATGTAATGGCAGATTTGAACAAACAAAATAAGACAACATGGATGTTGGCGCACGCTTAATAATCATAATTACAACCTGCTCCCATAAACACACATTTAAACACACGTCTCACAAAGACAAGGAAAGACGCGTCAGATCCCCACGAGCCCCAACTCGTTAAACATCACCCAGTGGAGCCCAGCCTGTTGAGCCCGTGAATTTAAGCCTCTCGCAGTGCACGACTTAGTGGCACATGGATCAGGCATTACGACACGAGGTTAAGGGATTCCTCATGACGAGAGCTTTTCACAGAGTCATTCTAGGTCACCACACCGCAGCCGGCTCACGTCTGAGTCCGGTGGACAAATGTTATCTTTGGGAGGAGGACGGATGTGATGTCACGCAGGTGTCGTGCTCCAGCTGGCTTGTATTGTGCCCCTCTGGATCTCTGGACCTCTGGACCGAGTGAGGCTTTGCGGTGCTCAGTGTAAGTGCAATCGATAGCTCAGATGTCAAAGTTTGTCTGCAGCTGTGGAAGCCCTCACAGCTGGGTCAAATGTGTCCACATTCGTGCCTTATGAATAGATCAGATCGGCTTATTACAGTCCTGCGAAAGCTACGCAACCAGATTTTATTTTTATTTTTTGTCAGGGCATTTGAATTTTAAGGATGAAAAGACAATTTATTTTGATTTAACACATATAACACAATTTTCTCGAAGATGATTACCAACCCTATCTTCAACTCGCTGAGGGAAACTAGAACTCAGGCCCAGTCGGTTCTGACTTGAACCTAAGGGTCGTTTTCCGTTTAAATTACAAAGACAATCCTGTTCAGGCACTGAACTTAGCATTCAGATTTGTATCAACTTGAGCATCCATTCAGAGTTAAAGCCAAAACAGAAACATCCCTGTTATCCGCGAGGTCCAGAATAAAGCCTCCAACATGTCGCTCCCATTTAGAAAAATACACTTGTGTAATTAATGGTAATGCTTTGCTAAGTATTATAGTTCAAGTATTTAAAGTCAAGCCTGTTTCCTGTTCTGAGCAGGCTGTTGAGTGATATCAGGGCATCGGGGATGTTCAGGGACCTGAGGTCAAAGATCACAGCTTGCTCTGCGGGTCGTGTGTTTCTGTCTGTGTTTGTGAAAGCACGTGGAGGCCATCAGTGTCTTTTGCGGTTAGAGACTTTAAGTTTGACTACATTTTTTCTGCTTATTACATGCTGTGATCGAACCTCCCTTATTAAGGGAGCTGCAGACTTTTTTTACTGTCAGTGTGGCTTTAATTAAGGCTTATATGCGCACGCGCACACACACACACACACACACACACACACACACACACAGTTATCTGTATGTATACCAGGCTTCTCATTATGACTTTGTCTAACAATCTATAAAAAGGATATTAAAAGCTACATTGAGATTAACATACATCATTCTTCAGTGAGAGGATGAAAATGTTGCACCTCGTAAAAGAAAAACTAGTGGACATAACAATCCCTCACAGTCATGCTTGACTGCATTTTCTCCTTCACACTCTGCTCTCACTTACCTCAACAACAATCCCTGCTGTTCTGCTGGCACATGAACATATTAGCTCTGGAGATAACTCCCTCCACTATTTTGTCTCAATGGGTTTCACAACATTTTATCTACAACTATTTTAAAATTAGTATGTATTACATATGTATTTATTATCCAACGTGCAGGTTATATATAAGGTTTTATCATAAATGATTATAAAGGTTGCAAAAGGAATTTTTGCATGGGGGAGTGTCGGGGGTTAAATTTGGCTGCAGTTTAGGAGAACATACTGCATATAATGGAGGGTGAACCATAAAATATTCATGGTTATATTAATAATATTAATTAATAATTAATAATCCAGTTTTGTAATTAATTTGTGCACACTATCTAAATAAGGCAATTGTTTATTGTTGTTTTCTATTTTGTCTTTTGTGTAATCTTGCTTTGTCAAATAAAGTATCATCTGCTGTATAGAGGATAGTTCCTCCAGTATTCTGAAGAGAAGTTGCGCTATAACTGCCCGTCAGCGCCACTGTGGTACGAACCTTTACACAATCAGAAAAAGACTCTGACTCCTCCTCTTCAGATGAACTCATGTGATCCAGCAGCGCTGCAACAGCTCCCTGATGTGTTTTTCTTGAGTGACAGAGTGAATTCACTGAAAAGACTGTTGACATCTAGGCTTCTGTATATGATGAGGCTGCCAGGCTCCTTATTAGCAGCCAGCGGAAAAGGACATGGGGACCAAAATTGTTCCCAAAGGATGAATACAGCTTGTATTGTTGCAAATCTGCACAGGCAGAGCTGGTGATACTTGGTAGGCTAGACAACACCCTGAGAGATCCACTATCGAGTCTTTATGCTAAATGTGAAGCGAGAACTACCCCAGTTTAGATTAGCATAAAGCCTGGCTATACAGGACACGATAGCTAATAACATTATTCTGCAAAATACCAAACTTTTAATTGAAAGTATTTACTCACAGTTCTTTGGATGGATGGAAAAATAGAATATTACATTAAACTGAAATCCTAAAGGAAAGCCCCTGTAGCATTGTTAAGAGCTGAGAAACATTGACCTGAAGTACTGATTTCAAAAAAGAAAATGCTCCTTTATGCTAACTATCTATCATGTTCTGCTGGCTTATTGGCTCGCTCTATTAGTGTGACAGTGGCAATTCTGTCACTGAACTGTGGAAATAACTAGCATGTAGGTTGCACGCCGTCACTGCACACGCACCTTTATAACTGTGATCTCAAACTTTCTGTTGAGACTTTAAACTGGAGAAGCACGCAGGACGAATCCGTGGTTCTAACGTCATATTACAGACAAAGGACACAAGCAGAGACAAGCCACAGGTATTGATCACCACAGCGGACACTGGTTTGACAGTGTTGACCTACATGTGAGTAACTGATGGACTAATAATGAGTGCTTGGACTCTTTTATATGCTATTGTCCTTCAAATGCAAAAATAAAAAAGTATGAAGTAAACTGTAATAATTAGAATATATTTATATACTTATATAATTCAAAAATATATATAATTATCTGGCAACGATGTAAACGTCCCAAAGTCTTCTTTGTGTCGTGAGCAACAGGCGTGTCCTGGATCAACATGACTCACATGAAAAAGTTTCAAGACATCATCATGTCAAAGGTACGTAATAAAATGCTGGAAGCAGCTTTACTGTAATGACAATACACAGGGATTGGCTTGCAGGTATTAAAAATGCTACTGCTCACAGCGGCAGGGTGTCAGCAAGTGTCTTAGGGCGTTCTAGTATTATTTAACCAGACAGATGATTTTTCCACAAATATCTTTCAACGGAACCAAATCGTTTCTGCTGAGATGATGGAAAACAGCAATTAACACCAAGTAAACGGCTTCCTTCATATTGAAGCCTCATTTTCATGCGTAGTACAATGCCTGTAAAAAATAGTGAACCTACATGGACCTCATGTGTTCGTAACTCTACCAAATGATCAAAATTACTTTCCACCTCCGCCTCAAAAGCCTATTTACTATGGAAATACTCCAGTATATTTATGTTAATTTGACCTATCTTACGGTACCTTTGTACATACGTTACATCACAGTATGCTTTAGGGCGGGGCTACGTTGTGATTGACAGGTTGCTTCCACTACAAGAGCTGTATACAGCGTCTCTACACCCCTCCTCCACGGTCCAAATACAGTCAATTTTGTTCATTGGTTGCAAAAAAACAAGATGGCTGTGTTGAAAATGATGATCTTGAGACAACTATGTCCTCTAGAGTCAGTGGCCATGCTGAAGGCAATTTCAAGAGACAAGACATTTTTAACAAGTACCTCATTGGATGAATGGCTGTTCCTCTGGTTCCAGTCAATGAGAGGATTGTGTAAAGAGGAAGACTACACGTTTCTGGCAATGACAGAAAAGAACCCAGAAGGAGCTGTTGAAGGAGCTCTGGAGAAGGACTGCAGAGACAGAAAGGAGGACAGGGTAAGAAATGAGAAAGGTCTTCAAATGTTGCCCACTGGACCCACTATCAATATGCTCCACTTATTGAAAAAGAAGAAAAAAAAATCATGTAAGTTTGTGTGTTTTAGGTCCGCCGGCGACTGGAGAGAGAGCAATTGGAAAAAGAGAGAATCCGAGAAATAGAGGAGATCAAGAAGGTGGACACACACACACACACACACACACACACACACACACTCTCTAGTGGAGGTAAACAGCCTCTTAACCCCAGGCAGTAGTGGAATGAGTGGATTGGTGTGAATTGGTGTGATGACAGATTGTTGTGTCCCTACCTTGTACTAGAAGCCGAGCTGTTGATATTTAACACCTGATATTTTTTTGTTTCATGCCAGATGATCCGAGAGTTTTGCCAACAGAATCTGATATTTTTCCGCTTGTTGAACTAGTAGCAATTAGCAACCGTCAAATGGACTTTTCCTTCAGTCTGCACGTGTCCCGGGCCAACCCCCCGGGATCAGAGCTTGTTATTTCACAGGCCAGCGTCGCTCAGAGTTTCGTGAGACCAGGCGGTGACGATGAGTCAAACGAGCGTTGAGAAGATTGATCGACGGCTGTTCATTTACAGCAACGGTTCACTTGGCCGCTGTATGCAAAACCAGAAACAATGTGGAAGCTCTGGCCCTGGAGGCTGCCGGGGGTTACGAGTCGCTTCATGCTCACGCCTTGACAGCGCTGAGCAAAGATGAATACAAACACACTCGTTGATGTGCATTTTAACAGCCGGTGGGTGTTTATACGTTATATACATTTAAAGGAAAACACAAACGCACGCCCGTTGTCATGGAATGCGCACAAACAAAAACACACACAAAAACAGCTGCCCCGTCTCTCTCTGACAAGACTGTGTGAGGTCAATGAGGGACGTTGGCTGTTGTTGTCAGCGCGCGCAGGCAGACACACACACACACACACACACACAGACAGGAAGCTGATGACAACATTAACCCTGATAGAGAGGATAGTCACTCTCACCTCAGTAAAGAATGCGTTTTCCACTTTTCATTGTTGTTAAAGAACAACGGCTTCTCCAACACTATCGTGCAACACAATGTTTTATTAAGTAAGTAAACTGATGGCGTGGGGAAATATTATCGTGTGTCCGTTGCTGCGTTTTTGATGTTTTCACACCTCCGCAGACGGTTTTTGGCACGCTGACTACTTCCACAAACAACACCAGCGACCAGATGGCAAATTGGGTCGAGATTGATACCACTACTACTTCCCCCATGAAGAGGAACACGTGTGTTTAGAAACAACTAAGTAATCATTTAAATGTCAAGTTGGTCATTTTCAACTCAAGGCCACTTTGGAAAGAACGTCATGACTTTTCGCCAAAAAGTGTGTTTGTGTGCGTTTGTGTAGAATATATTTGGGAAGGTAAGGCTGCTAACTAACTGCTTTCACCTTCACTCTATATGTGTCAGCGTGTCTTCAAACTGACAAAAACAAAGGATTCCTTTGCCCAGGACTTCCTCCACACATTTCTTTTCTCACCCGAAACAAACGCTGACGCGCACACACACACACACACGCACACACACACACACACACACACGCACACCCGCACACAAGGCAAGACAAAAATGGTAATTGATGACAGCCGCTGTCTGTTGAGAGCCACTGGCCTCGGCCACCTCACATGTATCCCATCTGAACTGTTTAAAGACTTCCATACACAAGCCTCAAAGATTAATCACTTTCCCACACACACCTACACACAAGAAAATTATACATAAAACACACAGCAGGAAACCGGATACAAGAGAGTGATACGTAGTACAATTTGAGGTCAGGGATACACAGCCAGCACTTTTCTTCACTGTCACACACAAAGACACACACACACACACACACACACGCCTGCTTGAGGCGAAGGCGTGTAGCCCCAGCTGAAAATATGCACTGTGCTAGAGAAACTTTATAACCTACAAAATGTTGCTACACAGCTTTGAGATAGACAGGATTTCTCGAGGGATTGTGGGGCTTTTCTTTCTCTACTTGTTATTCTGCCCAAAGCTGCAAAATGGACTCTTGCTATTTGGTCATACGGAGCCTCAGTTTGCGTTACAATAAGAGTGACATCAACGCTTTGTATGAGTTTATTAAGAAGTTAAAATATGTGTTAAGTGTTAAGTAAAAAAAAAACAGGTGAAAATTGGCTAGAAGCAAAAATAATGAGAACGAAACTAAACCAAAAAACTAAAGACGCCGGCATGCACTGCTCAGTTGAATTGAAGGTAAACGCAGATTCAGGAGATGATTCATTACAAGCAGTTTCCATCAAAACTACTCATTAGGTAGCAATCAACCTAATCAACCTAATTAGGTCATTAGGTTAATCAACCTAATTAGGTCATTAGGTTGATTGTTAATATGAAAAAGTTGATGAGTGCATCTTTAAAACGTAAAGCTTAATGTTGTAGTGGACATTCCTGTGTATTTTCGTGTGTCAGGAGAAAGAGCAGCAGTGGAGGACTCATGTAGAAAAACTCACCTCTAACCAGGAGAAGAATCTGCAAGAGAGACTGACAAGGCTCAGGAGATTCAGGGTGAGAATGCAAACACACACACACACACACACACACATAATCGGAAAGCTGCACAGAGCTGACAGATCAAGATTCTGCTGTCGTTTGACATTTCATTCGTCATCATCAAGTTACACAGTTCAAGGCCACTGATCCGATCGGAAGTGAGTCGTTGTTAGCAGTAGCAGTGTTAACTTTTATTCCATGTGTGTCAGATGCCAACAATCATCACTCTCTGCGCTGTCGTCTCTGGACTTTACTTGAGAACTCCTGTCAGTCAAATGCAGTCAGCTAAATGGTTCTGTAGACTTTTCCATTTGTGTCACTCGTTCTTGACTTCTATCCTCCTGCAGGAGTTCCAGAGGAAGGTGCTGGTCGGGGAGTCGGGGATGGAGGGCAGACTCGCGGTCAACCAGCTTCTCCCCAGGATGTAGACTCATGACAAGTGTGCTTTTATTTTCTGTTGCACTTTAACATCAATAAATGAGCACTTAGTCAACGGAGACATTGGTGTGATGGATGTGAATGAATGAGATGAATGTCTGAATACGGGGTCTTCAAGGAGTTTTCTGGAGTTGGAGCTGAGAGACACGTACTACCCAAGAGCAAGTTTACATGCTTATAATAAACCAATAGTCGTCTAAATAAATGGTAATTTATCGGTGGGTTCCCAAATGACATTTCTCTTTCTCTCTCTTAACCTGCATTCAACCGAACACTGTTCGACCAAACGTGTTTGATGCTACACTGACTGCAGGCCGAAGTAAGACACGCTTCCAATACCGAAATCCTTTGCCGTTGCCTTTGGATATTCATGTAGAATCTGCTTATGGAGGTTTATTTACCACCACCTAAACTGTTTTTTAAGCTATAGAGGATGGGTGGATGATTAATGCATTAATTGATTAGCAAAACCAAAAGTTTTCATAACTGAAAAGACTCCTGCTATCATTGTTGTGTTAAATATTTCTGAAGTCATTGCTTCAGGAAAAGATGAGAAATCTCCGTATTGTTTGATATCATTTTAAACCGGGGAGAGATTTCAGATTACCATTCACGCACAATGAAATAAACTTATGTTACCTCACAAGACACACAGCAAAAAGTTGCTGTCAAAAGATGAAGAATATAAAATAATCTAAATCTAAAATAATGCCCCCCGAAAAACTGTCTAAGATCGCCCATTGTCAAACAATATAACAAGCCCATATCTATTATGTATCACTATTTTAAAACCTTAGTTCTTTTTTGTGTTCCTGTGTGTCCAAAGAGAAAATGATGAGGCCTGCAGGCCATAACACATAATTTAAACAACGTTTTCTAAAGGGTATTTTGCTTTCAATGGTTCAACTCCACAAAGCACATAATGAGTAATGGTGCATATATGTCCCACATCATCAATTTTTTTAGAAGCATTCCAGTAAATGTGCATATGTCTCTGGGTAAACATGTGTGTGTGCGTCTGTGGGGCGTTAAATAAAAAAAACGTCTAGCAGTGAATATTTCTCTCTTTGGAGCAGAATGTATCCTTGATGGTCAGGCGTCAAATCCAGTCAGTCAGTTACTTCTCTACTCACTAGTAATTACTTTGGAATCAAGTCACTATTTTATAAAACAAAGATATTTTTAAACATACACAATAATAAAAGTTATTATTAACCAAGTACCTATAGACCAAAATGAATCATGCTAATTCTTTGACTGTTTCCAGTAGCAGCAGGCACTAACGAATCCACTGTACACATCCTCCCTGCAGCAGCAGACAAACATAAGAAGTGAAGAAAGTTAATTACCCGACAACAAAAGGCCCAAATATTTCCCTCTGGTGGATGGAGGCCAAAATTAAGCTAAAATGAAAGGATATGGTTAACTTAAGGTGCTAAACACAAGTTTCAAGATTAATCTATTGCTTCCACTCGGATCTCGATTGGATGAGCCAGAGGGCTCGCAGCTCGCAACAGCAACGGAGCAGAAGGAGGGAACAGTGTTTACCTCGGTGAAAAAACAGAAGGCGGATGGCATTCTCTCATTCCCCCCCCCCCCCCACACACACACACACACTTCTCACACTAAAATGTATTTACACAGATGTACAGAGAGTCGGGTGTGTCAGTGCCTCAGCGTGGGCGTTAATTGTACGACTCTGTGCTCACACTCCAATGACAGCAACACAATGTTTTGCACATGTGTGATTGTATTTTTTGTTCATTTTTAGGTGTGCATATGCAGACGGACACGTGTACATGTCACTGTGTTTGTAGATTTGTGCAAATATAAGGTGTCCTTGGGCATTTTCTCCGAGTGACACATGAAAGAGTTGACATCAGAGTTCTATTTAAGTCTTTCCCCTGTGCTTTAAGGGTGTGTGTGTGTGGGGGGGGGTCGGTACAAAAGCTGGGAGAGAGAAGAGAAGGAAAATCAGATGAGGAGGAACAAGAGTTTCCTGTCCGTCCGAATTAGAAAAACAGGAAGAAAAAGGAAAAGTATATGACTTACATCGCAAGGTACAGTATATTATTCCCTGAGGACAATGACAAAAAGGAACATGGCCTCTCTTTTCGAGCACGTCATTTGTCAAACCAAGACAGCCTCATTCTAAGCTTCACATTTTCTACATTAAAGGCTACAATATGCACCAATCCATTTGAAAATAATCCAAACACAACTCCAACAAATTATAAAATATGATATGCAAATCAGTCCAGAAGACGGTGCTTTGTAAAGTTACATTTGCTCAGCGAAGCAAGACGCTAACAAAGGAAACGGCACCCTGAAAAGCTAGCCGACACGCTGATATAAATATCATTTAATATCATCAAATATCATTTCTCTGTGACAAACCTTGCTAAAATGACAGCAAAAACCACTCCCAAGCACCCTGCATATGAATCATAAATTCCCCTTTACCTTTTTTTTAATGAAAGAAAATCAATTTTTTTAAGCGAGAGACGTACATCAGCCATTGTATGCGCACCACAACCAAATTCAGCGCTTTCCGTGCAGGTTTAAGGGGTTTCAGCCAATCCTCACTCGTTAGCGTCATTTCACACTCTACACATTTTGGCTTCTGAGTGGCAAAGGAAGCTGTCGATGGGTTTAGTCGAATCAGGTAAGATCTGACGATAAGGGTTAAGGTTACCAAAATTCAACGTTTTTTTGTGTGTGTTTTATTGATTTCTTCACCAGCAACATTTAAACTGATTCTTAAACACTCACAGGGTTCCCCTCTATCCTGCAAAGAAGAAAGTCCCAATAGACAAAGCAGTCAAAGAGTTATTACACTTTATATTATGGTATACTATTTTCACAGGAAAGGCCAAAAAAAGCCTCAGAGTGGAAAATGTTTAACACTTGAGACAAATCCAGGCAGGTCAGGAATTTGCCAGAGGCCTGAAACACAAACATACATGTAGGGTAGACATGTGAAAACCTCTACAGCAGTGGTTCTCAACTGGTCTGGCTCCGGGACCCACCATCACCCCTTAATGACAAGCCGCGACCCAAATCGAGGAACATTCTCAACTTCTCAAATTTATTAATGAAAATATGGTGCAGTTTGAACCTGAGATAGTATGGAGACAGAATGCGTATGCCAACACAAAAACAAGTTTGATGAAAAAACAAAACAGCCAGCTGTTAATTCTAATTTTTATTTTCCCAGGCAAAGGCCCATTAAAAACGGGTGAGAATCACTGCTCTACAGGGCATCTGCTTGATGGCAGCTATGGACAGCAATGAAAAAGAGGAAACTGGGAATGGGCTTGACAACAAGTTTGAAATAAAGTTACAAGTAACACAAGAGTGTCTCAAGAGCTCTGTGTAATCCACGCTAAACGTTGGAAAATATACTTCGTCGACTGAACTATAAACCACATTTAGTGGATTGATCCTCATTGCTAAATAGGAATAGTAATCAAATTTGCTGCAAAGTTTCGCTTTGACGGCTCCATCGCCATTGGAAGGTACAATATTGCTTATTTTGAATACATCGTATTCGTACACGTTGCATTTTATCCCAAGATGCTTTTGTCAGCCAGTATCTTTATATTTAAATCCGCCAATCGGTGCTGTTGCTGTTTAGCACAATGTGCATGGCCCCTTTTAAAGGCAGGAAAAGCACAGGTGGCAGGGTGACAGGCAGGATTGTTAACGTGATCATTCACACCCGTTTACATCCACTTAGAAGTTTACGTTCACTTTGGCTTTGCCTTCTCTTGTTTGTAGAAAAAAAATAATGAAACCAACTTTCATAATAAGCGACACAATGATTGGATTCTTGAGTACAATGTCAAAATGTCCTGCTCCACATGCGGATTGGGGCGGAGTTAAGGGTTATTACATCATCACCAAAGTGTAAACAGCTTTTTCTTAGAGAGCGATAAACGTAAACATAAACTCAGTGCAAAAGGTCTAGCTAAAGGTTCCACTCTGCTGGTGACTAATTTCATCAAAAGCTGCTCAATCCACGGCCGTAATGTGGATCCCATAAAGTTGGTGGGATGCATGAATGTCTCCACCACCACCACCACCCACAACTGAGCAGCTGGTGCTGATCAATGCCAATGTTAACATTACGTCAGCAGCTTGTGAATAGAGTTGTTGCTGATTACATATGCTGCATTATTGCAGTGTTAACAGCATAATAGACATCGTACCTTAAAAACCCATCTGCATAAAAATTAGGTCTGCATAAAAGTTGTGTCTTCTGATAGGATGAGATGCAGAAGACAGGCGAGCCAATTGCCAGAGTCATACATACACACACAAACTGCATTCTACACCCCCCACTGTGTGGCGGTGCTAATCACAGCTCATTTTTCTGCAATGAGTTTTGTTTTTGAATTGTGTGGTGAATGCATGCAAAGTTTGCCTCTTACTACAGAAAAAAACAACACCCGATGTTCCGCTGCCACAGACTACAAATTCATGCAGTAGTACACATCAGTAGGTTTAGAGCATTCCCAACATGGGCCATTAAGGAGTACTTACAGTCGGGAGAATAAATATGTGGTACACTGCAGATTTTGCAGGTTTTCCCACTTACAAAGCATGTAGGAGTCGGAAAATCACATTGTGTGATTTAAAAAAAAATTGCAGTTCTTTGCAGGAGTCTTTTTTTTTTGCTTTGTAAATGGAAAAACCTACAAAATCTGCAGTGAATGCAATTTCCAGGGGGTAATTAGAATAGTTTGAAGCGCAACTTAAAGAAATAGCAATTACATTATGATTAAAAGGAAAACATTCACTCTGCTATACTTAAACACTTCAAGTAAGTGATTCATAGCAGGCAAGCAAAGGAGATACAGTTAGCTAAATAGAATGGATAACAATAATGAATAAAACTAAAGCATAGTTAAAAGAAAATACATGGTTAAGCTTAGCAGTAATAAACAGATGGTTCTAAAGCTTAGCAACAAGCAAGTAATATATACATTGTTCTAGTACTTAGCTTAATATACTGTATGGTTCAAACCCTTAACTAAAAAGTTGATTTTCTTTTTCATTTGAAACTACTGTGTATAGTTGTACATTTTTCATATTTTTCCCCGTTGGGAAAATTCAAATAATGAGTCAGAGTGTGTATCAGCCCTGTGAGGCGGGGATTTAAAATTAAATAATTAAAATCTAATACAATTTTATATGATTCTGAAATAAAAGTTGCCAACATTTCCACCTAGTTTGGAGAGTCCAGCTAAAAACAATAAAAAAGAGTTTGACACCAGGTAAAAAGCCGGCCACCGGGGCGGAGGGTTCGCCAGGGTCCAGCTGGTTCCAGTTGAGCCACTCGTGGGTTTTTCCAACTTTTATGAAAGCCACTGCCTGTCATTCCCACGTCCTCCTCCCATCTGTGGTCCTACGGCTTCCTGTTCCTGTCCCGTCCTCTGGTGTTTTCCTTCTGTGCTTCATGTGCTCTTTTGTAGTGGCTGTGATAATTGGGAGGGTGGGGCTATGTTGGCCAGATTCATGTAAATTAAATAAGTCTCCCCAGGTGCAGGAGATCATTGACTACAATCTACTTAAACCAGGGTTAAAATAGTGTCCAACATACGCCTGGCAAAATGGTAGACTACAAAAACATGCAAATAAAACAAACCATGTTAAAATCAAAAAACAAGCTACACATAAAACCCATAATTCACAGCAACAACCCAATCTGCACAGCAATGTGGCCTAATGTCCTCCTGAGGACAAATGGACAGAAGATTTGTGACCTCTTGAACTGAGACATGTTTTTTGTGTTAACAGATAAGTTTCGATGATTCAATAAACTTTCTCAGGAACTCATGTTGTAAAGCGGATTAAATGAAAAAATGTAATAAACGGAAGGAATACAAAAGTGAGATACACTATTAATAGTATAATATTTTGCAAAATAGAGAATCCCCTGAACCAGTCTATTATGACCATCAATAATGGTTCCCGGGAGGCGTCTGTCAGCCTTTTCTCCAGCAGAGCCCTTTGAATCTTGCGTGTGTCCCTTGTGCCGCAGTCGTGATTGGCGGCAAATTCAAACGCAGCTCCTCCCACATTGTCCTCGGAAAATTCCTTTCTGCTTTAAGGCATTTATGACTCTCTCCCCTGGCTTCATCAAATGGCCGAATCAGAAGTCCCTCACTGACCAGACCAATCCTTATTCACTTAATATTACAATGCATTCAATGATCACACCTTTGACCTAAAGCATTTAATAACATCTTAACCATTATGTTTAACTCCGTTTATTTGGTCCAAAAGCAACACATTTGGCTCGCAGGGTTTTCCTACTTCACACACACCATCTCATTATACAAGGACCGTTGTGTTCTTTTCCCTGAGACATACATCTGATCATCATGAGACACAGAGTGGCCTTCTGAACACACAAGTCACACTGATTTCATATCCTGAGCGCTCATCTTATCTCAGCTGACATGTCCTACACACAACGTATTGCACAAACAATACAGGACTAGTCTTGTGTCGTTTTGTCTAACCCCCCCCCTTCTCTTGACATTATTAGTTTGTCTGTCCAAACACAGCCAACCTTCCTGTTCAAAGAGATGCAGATCATGTCTTGGAAAGGATGTCGATTGCATTGCATTCAGGGAATATTAGGAAAGCTATTTGTTCCTTTAGTCAGTCTAAAACCACACAATTTCACACTAAACAGCATGATTACGTTGGTTCATCATACGACCCAAGTAAAACATTTCCAATGCGCAAATAAAGCACTGCTATCCATGCGCTTAGACTTAACAGATCGGAGACACTGAGAGGTGTCTCAGCATCAATCACCTACACATTCATTTCATGGTTCATATCCATCGTCCATGTTCTCTGCAATATATTTAGCAAATAAATCATATAGCAGTTGTACTCAGCACTATAGTTTGATTTGGAAGACTGTTCTTTATGTTCACAGGTTGTAAGGTCATGGGCCGTCCTTACAGCTAGCTCGGGTGGAGCAGACAGAGCTGACAACCACCATCAATGTCAACATAAAGCTTCTCTTCTCTTCTTCTGCAGCACTTAAGTCTGGCCTTATTCAGGTGGCCTAAACACTTATACCTGAGTGAGTGGTGAGGCCTTCTGGGAGATGTAGTTCTTTCATTGGCAGCCATCTTTTAGGGCGGCTGCAGCTCCTTAAAGGGGAAGTAGCACCCACCAATCCACCGGCCCCGTGTGATGTCACAAGTTGTATTGAATTTTTTTAATGTCTCGATTCACCATATTGTAGGAATCTACGAGGAATCTTAACGTCTAATCCTACTTAATTGTGAAGCCAATTGTCAGAAACCCTTTTTGTGATATAATGGTAAGAACAGTGCTGTAGTGGTAAAATTAGAGGTGGGTAAACTCTGAATTTTGTGATCATACAGACCTCGACACGAATGCAGAGAGGCAACGCAACACAAAAGCGTCGCGACTCTGTAAGGCTGTCCTGGCTATATTGCATTATGTTAAATGTTAAATTTAAGAAAACAGTAAAGAAAAGTATGTCAACACAACAAGACAATTGCAGATTAAGAACTATCTACATACGGAGTGCTACATATACGCGTTCTGGGGTTCATGGCTCCTCTGTGCTTCTCCTCTCTCTATTGGACCTGGTGTTTCTCCTCTCCCTGTGCTCTCTGCATCATTGCCTGTCTTATCACTGCCTGAAAAAATATGTTGAATTTAAGAGTTAACCAGTTAAGCAGCCTGTCAATCACACTGACAACATAAGTTAAAGGAACACTCATGTACTACCTATGTCATCATAAATAGCCTATACAGCATGTTTTTTTTCACATTGAGAACTGACTTGTTTTCTAATCTACGCGTCACCAGGCGTTTTTCTTGTCCATTTACCGTGCACGACCAGCGAACACAGAGCGCGCAACTACTACCCCCCCCCGTCGGTCGTTCCGCCCGCAACGACTACTACCCCCCCGTCGGTCGTTCTGCCCGCAACGACTACTACACCCCTCTCGTCGGACCTTCTCGACCGGTCCGCGAAATATTGTCTGACATGAAACCGGTCCGTGAGGTAAAAAGGTTGGGGACCACTGGGCTGACCCACAACGTGTATGTGTTTACACACCTACCGGGATCCTGATTAGTGTTGCAGGTGCAGCTGCAAGGCACTGATTGGATGGTCACAGATCGTAATACTCCGCATAGGCGATGATTCAAACTACGCGCTTATGTGTTCAGAATGACCAAAAGACTAATCTGTATAAAATGACCCCAGGTTAAATCGTAATATTCCACCGGAAGAAAACAAGGCGCAGGGAACTTTGAGGTGCGTATATGCTATTTATAGGTGCGTAAACCCTATTTCCAAAATTCTAGAGGTGCGTAAACTGCGTTTACGTGCGTTTACCCTCCACTACAGCCCTGGGTAAGAAGCTCAGTCATAGGACGAGACATTTAAAGCTGTATTTCCAACTACTCGGTGGCAGAAATATTATCAGAAATTGCATCACAATATATAAACTATGAAATAAATGTATTTCGATATATAAAATAATTACATCACTTTACTTTTCCACTTAATAGTTTTATTACATTTTGTCAACACATTTTCAAGTAAATTTATTTCAAATATTAATGTTGAAGCTGGGAGCAGTGCAAAAACTTTCATTTAAGAGGAAGTTTTTCCAAACCATTTTTTCTGTGTCTTTTTTGTTGTCTGATGCCGCTTTGGTTTGTGTTTTGTTTTTTTAGGATCGGTGATGAAGCTGCGAGCCCCCTGTCGGGCCACCGCGACCCCCAGTTTGGAAACCACTGTGTTAACTAATCATTTTTGGTTTTATTTCTGTTTCGGTCACCAACATCTGGCAGAAAAAGAAATACAGCATGTAAAGGAATTTAAACTAATTAATGCTTCCGGCTTAAACAGTGTGTATTTGTCAAATTTATTTTGCGTTATTACCAAGTAATTTGCTGTCCACTTGTTCTTGTATTGTCTAAGCTGACATGGTAGCAGGCAGGAGGTGATAACAGTATGTTTTGGCAGGATTAACCCATGACTAGGCTACTGGTTACAAGAAAACTTCCAGAAAAGACCGACTCATACAAAGTTTTTTAGTAGAAAAGCCTACAAGCCGAAAACAAGCACCTGAGATAATGACAACTATGAAGTCCGTCCAGAAAAGCATTTCAGTATCGATGAATTCAGCATTGTATTGCCGTCAAACTGGTTGTGTGTTTATTCATTTTTGAGGATCTTTTCTTTTTGCCAGGTAATCTCACAAGGACTGCCCTACCAAAAACGGCAAATTATAAGAAGAGCCAAATGAGATGAAAGCAAACAGATCACACAGGTAAGAAATGATTCCATAATGCATCCAACACTCATGTATTTAAGAACTTCTACACCAACTTAATTAAGGTAACGTAAGGTAATCTCTTTTTTAGGTGACAGATACCAGCATAACACCACTTTTTCACAATTCCCTAGCCCTAAAGACCACGTGAGAACATTTACAGTTAACTACAGTATGTTTCACTGAGGCCTAACTGAGCAGACAGATGTTTGTGTTTTATTGGCGATACAAGAGCAGTTACAAGGCCTCTGAAGCTAATCAAGAATTAGGTATGGGGTTCCAAGATGGCGCCCCTTTATTCCAAAGAATTATTATTCCAGACATTGATGTTGCCAAAAGACTGCCATTGTGTCTTGTTGGCAGGACCAACACACCCCAACGGGTCACATCCATGGTTACAGTTGAACGGAAATCAATACTCATTTTTACTTCAAAACCAGCATAAATAGTTTGTTAGTACTTGTGCACTACTTGGTTGGTCTAAATTGGAATTACCAAAGCAAACCATTGAAGCCTTAATCAATGTTTCTGCCGTAGTAGCACCTCCAACATAGGTGTTCTGCAGGGAAGTGGTTGTCATTAACCATAATATTACTGTTGAGCGGTCGAATGTACGCACTAAAAACTGGTGGTAGTATCACTCTTATTCAAAGGATGCAGAGGAAGTTAAACTGATTAGTCGTTAGCAATGGCTTAGTCCGAATCGGTGGTTTAAACACATTCTGTACATTACTCTACGATTCTATAATTGAGCATTTACAGGCGTTTTCTGTCAGCGAGGTCATTTCCTAAGGCCTAGTCCGGACCCATGAAAGGGAGACGGCTACATCCACTTCTAAAACGAAACGAAGGACACTGAGCTGCTGATGACTCAGGTCTCGAAATAACATGAACAAACGCATGGAGTGGGGATCAGTGCTAATGTTAGCAGGCTGGACTAATTGGCTTCCACTAAAAAAATACTTAAATCAACATCATTGGGGCTCAACTTGGGGAATATTTTTTGTATTAATATCAATGGGATACAGGGTCGTCACTGTTCCAATAGACAGCTCTCCACTGAAGTTAACTTATCTCCTAGCAACGCCAGCGCCCAACCTTCAGTGGGAGCATATATGTTGTCAGGGTTCTATGTTTTTGAGTCCATATGTCACCCTGGTCTGTGGTCTCAGGTTCCAGTTACCAAGGTCCTATGTCTACAGGGTCATATGTTCCCAGAGTGTATTTTCCACGGTCCTTTGTTTCCAAGTTACTTAGTTCCCATTGTTAAGTTACCCAAGTAAATTCTCTGTTACACATGCAGTCAACTTTTCAAAAGGTTTTATGCTGTCAGGAAGTCATTTGCAGTTTGTTCCCTTTGACAAGTTTCAACAACAGCCCACAGCATATTAAGCGAATAGTTAGGGAACGTTGGGAACATTAAACCTTAATCATGTGTCGTATAAATCCGTAGAACATAGGCCCCTGAGAACATGAGAAATTACATCCATGTAAACCCCTTTTTTCCTTGCCAAAAAAGAAAAAAAGACTTATTTGTATTATGCATATTAGCTAAATATGGTTATAGCTTATATTTCCTTGCACAAAAATTGGGGAATTACAAATTCAGTTTTACTTTTACATGCAAAAGCTAATTGAATTCAGATGCTAACAAGTTGTTAACAATTATACACCAATAGTTAGACCAGATACTGATGTAGGCCTATGTTATCTAGCTAAAAAGTTATTATTATCTAAACATGAAATCAGTCAGACCTATTAGGGCAGAAATGACTGGCTGGCAGTCAGAAATAGATGATCCAGTTGTACATTAAAAAAAGCTCAATATTTCTAACATGGCTTACACAGGTTGCATGACACCGGCAAGTTCTTCTATGCAACACGCAGTTACTCTATTTGGGCAGTAGTTCCCCAGATTTATTACTTACCTGCAGGAATGTCAGAGTATACAGTCTATCACCTCAAGGAGGAAGGATTGGCAAGGGAATTATTTCTTCCCTTGGCAATAACATGAGATCTTTTCTAGCTTACTGCCACTCACAGGCTGCAACAGAGTGGGATTTCTCTTTGAATTACAAAGTCATTAAGTTTAAGTCATTCTGTACTCAATTGAGAGCCGTAAAGTCCATATGGCTAATCGGGAAAGACATAGGCTTCACAGTCTATTTCTAAAAACCACAGCTTGGTCTATAAATCTAAGGGTGGCATGCAACGCGCGCCACATTGGCATGTGCATCAGTCCAACAAACACGATGAGCAGTATGACGTGTGCATCGACTAACATGACAATTTAAGTAAAGTTTGAAAATAGAATCAAAGTAATGCCTGAATTCAGTGTGGAGAAATCAGATGTAACACAGTGAGTAGTGTAAAGATGTGATCATGTGTTCTTTCAGTCTTCAAAAGTGTTGTCGCTGCTACATAAAAGAGCGTAAGCACATAAAGCAGGAACATTCTGAGAGTCCCCAGTCCAGGTAATGAGCCCATGTCCGTCAATCCATTTGTGTCGATTGAGTCTTCATCAAGGAATCATTCGTTATTGGTTCTTTCTTCCCTTCCAGTCTTTTCCAGGTTCATGTAACGATTTTTCAGCCTAATACTGTAATTATTGCTTGTCTACGCTATGAAGCAAGTGTGCCTCACTAAATCATTGATTTTTCAAACAAACCACCCCCAAAAAAGAACAAATTATTGGAACACTTTCCTCAGGTTTAGTGGTTGGAAGTGGGATCGACGCACGGACGATGCACATTCAACCAAACTGAAACCAATAAATGGCTCCAAGTGATGCCGTGATCACACAGAACTACTGTGTCGGACACCGGGACACAAAGCACACGGGTTAAGACATTCAAGGACTGAATCCCTCGGGCAACGTGTTCTCCGGTCCTGAGGCCCGGGCCGAAGAACCTCTACGCATGTGTGTGTTTGTCGCACGTCACACCATCGTGTGTCTGGAGTTTTCGTCTCCGTTTTTGGGCGACGTGGGAACATTTCTGCTGAACTGGCTGAAGCTGGCCGCCCTGCACCTCGCCCTGGGCCCGCCCCCGTCTCTGGGCAAGCCCTGCCCCGGACCCGGGGGGAGGGTGCTGAAGCGGCCCGGGAGCTGCGGGCCTTTGCCCGGGTGCTCCTCGTGGGGGCTCGGTTGGTGGGAGGCGTTCTTGGAGAAGAGGCTCTGGATTAGCTGGAATTTTTCCTTCTCTTCCCGTAGGAAGACGTCGACCAGGAGCTTCTTCTCCCGCTTGAACTGCTCCACGATGGTTTTGGGAACGTCGGGGATCCCCCAGGCGACAATGAGGCTGAGGAACATCACCAGATTCTGGAGGAGGGAGGGAAGCGGAGAAAGGGTTGTGTGAGAGCGAAAAGAGACGTTGATATTCCTTCGCTGTTTTGCATTGGAACAGAGAATCATTTCCTGGAAAATGACTAACTGGCTCAAACGGTTTTTGAGGCCGGCTAAGAACCTCTGGCGGCCGCTGGTGCTGTCAGTGCGGGTTACCGGGGTGAATTGATGGGCCAAACTTTATACAGTATTATACTACAGTACATAACGTTCCATTGTTTCAGAAAGCCTCACACAGTATCTTTACCTCACATCTGTCCCTCTACCCGCTCACTGCAACCGTCCCAAAATATCTGATCTACCAACTTGGGAGACATTGGGCCGCCAGCAAGAACAAGTTGTACAAACAGATCAATGCTTGAGTGGTTTGGAGGAGCAACCTCAAAGAGCTGGCTGCTTTCACAGACTATACAGTATTTAGAAACCCACACAGTGTACCAGAGTCATGGGGTATATTGGTCTGCGGAAAGCCCAAATTAGTTTTTCACTGTTGGATTGTAGATTTTATTTTGTTGTAACTACAATTGGAATTAGAGGGTAATATAGTTCACGTTTGTGATAATAGCTTGTCACCTGAAGTTTGCACTAACAGCAGGTTTTCTCCCCCATTCCTTCACTAAAGCAGGTCCCCAAATGTTGCTGCTGATGCTGCTTAAATGGATAGACTTTCCTTTGTGGATCTCTGAAAGCAGGACTTCAAAATAGAACACATGAGGCAGGACGCTAAAGCTGACCACGTACGTCCAAACGCCACCTCCATGGTGTAATAAATATGTCCATTTATAATTGTCATGCTCGTGCATTCATACATGCGTAGATGGGAGCAATCCTGTTTACGTGTCGTTTGAAGTGTTTGATAGATCTGACTCGGCACTCTCGTACAGACCCACCGTACGGAGAAAAAAAGGAAGAGACATTTTCCTGCATACAGTCCCACGTGGGGAGTTTCTGGAATTCTGTTCATGTGACTGATACTTCAGAAGGATTTATCTGCAGCAGCAACAAGGGTGGGTAGTGTCTGCAACTGCTTCGTTGATGGAGGACACTTGGTGAACTATAGAAGCCCATTTCCGCACTACAGAAAGGGGATAGAAAGTTGAAATTATGAGATAAAACGTTGTCAAAACGCAAACGACACCTTTATGTAACCGTACTGGACCGTAGACGACAACCAGCTACAACCATCATTTACCATCATTACCGGCACATTGAGACCGATGCATCCAGCTCGCAGACCGGTCCGTCAGTCTGAATCTGAATATCTTGCCAACTTTACCGAACTATGGAGGAGCCTGCGCATATCTTACCTCATTATTTAGATTTTCTAAAAATCGATCGGTATTGAAAGTGGGCAAGATATTCACAGATTCGGACTTCATTTTACCAATACGGACCGGTCTGCATGCTGGACGCATTGCTCTTAATGTGCCGGTAATGATGGTAAATTATGGTTGTAGCTGGTTGTCATCTACGGTCCACTACGGTCACATAAAGGTGTTGTTTGTGTTTTGACAGCGTTTTATCTCATAATTTTGACTTTCTATCCCCTTTCTTCAGTGCGGAAATGGGCTTCTATAGTTGTGTGAATGCATCACTCCAGCCAATCCAAAGACGGGGTTTGTAACCAATCAGGTGTAGAGACCATGGTGACTGGCTCTGCCCCCTTACTGTCAGAAAGAACAACAGCGAGCGCGTAGAAAACTCCTTCGAGCGCGAGCAGAGACTAACCTCGCGAGCGAGGAAGCTCACGTTACGCGAGCGAGCAAATATCTTGCGCGAGATAGATTTTTGCTCGCGGATGTTTGATTTACGCGCGCCTCAACCTGATTTGCGCTCTTGAATTTTGACAGTGATTTGCCGCCATAGTAATATTCCCAAACAAGATACAAGTACATGTGATCCAGGTAATTGGGACAAGAGCATCACAAACATCACACAAATACCACAGAACTGACACAATGCTTAACATTGTGCGGGGCTTCCCAACATGTGTCAGATGTCTCATTAATCCATGTATTTTGTGTTGTCATGTTGTGCTTTTGAACGCTGCTAAATATCTGGACCACAGACACACGAGCTGATCGACCAGCTTATAGACAAAACCCAATGAGCTCATACCTGGAACAGTATGACGAAAGCCAGTCTTGCAGCCAGGACACACCAGTACTGTTTGGAGAAGGTGTAAGCGTCCGGAGACCAGGGGGGTTCCCTGTAGTCTTTATACCTAGGGATGGACAGAGAAGATGCAAAGAACATGCAGTACCTCGAATGTCACTGTTACATGCCTCCTGGGGCTTTTTGGGGAATCCAGTGGGAGGATATCATGAGGAGTAACAGTGAATCCCAATGAGAGCACCACCTATACAGTACAACTCAATGGACCATAGACTGTACAGAGGAAGGAGAGAGAACTGTATTAACAGTTGGTTTGCGGACTGACGTTTTTGAATCCTTCACTTTTCTCAATGTTGGCCTTTGTCTTCTAGGTTTTTTAGGTGTCACTCTTGGTATCTTGCTGGAGGTAACACCATTTTAAGCCAAGCACACACTAAGAAAGGGTTGAAGATCGAAGACGAAAACAGGGACAACTCCCAGACCGACACCGCCATGGAAGCAATCACCAGGTAGCCACGCCCTAAAATAATACTCTGCATTATGGTCTATTTGACTCTATATGAATCATCCGTTACCAAATGAACCTCATGGTGTATTGAAGAAGACTTAAAACTGGAGATTGAGACTGTAAACTCATGTTTATAATATTTACTGAGGGAATAATACACCAAGAGAAGTAGTCATTTTCTCGTAGACTTCTATACAATTAGAGTTCTCGATGTGAACAGTCAGTCTCCCAGAGTCAGAGTGCAGGTCTAAGTAACTTCAGCATTGACTTTAATCCTCAAGCCCGGAGGTTTTCGCCTGGGATCAGCGGATAAACCTGGAGGCCACTTCACAACCTGCTTTCCTCACAGCGTCTGACGATCCGTCTAAGACAAACTTTCCTCCTCCATACTTTGAGCCAAACTGATTTATCATTCACTTGCACGCATTCAAACATCTCCTCCATTCAGCTTAAGAACCGGCTCAAAGTGAATTGAACTTTATTAGGAATAGGACAGCAGACAACTGGAACCACATGTCGAGGGAACGGCAGAGAGCTTCAAAAAGACGATTCAGAGAGACAAGAGAGGAGGATATCAAGAAAGAGGAAAGTAACAGAGGCATGAAGCATGATGTTAATTGGAAAAATATGAAGTTCCAAGTACTCACTCAAGCTTTGAGTACAGAATCCAACACACAAAAATCAGGCTGAGGAGCATAACGTGTGAAGAGCGAAGGAGGAACACAGTGACGGTCTGTTTGCAGTCTACTCTCTAAAAAAATAATGAGTGAAGAAGACCTAGTGGGTCAGCATTCATCATCAATGTGCCAGCGACCCTGGAGTAAAAAGTGGAAAAAAATGCTTATAGTAATCACATACGTCTGAGTTATTAGCTATAATGATTAGGGTTTTTTATTATTATTATCTGTATTTCTCTTGCAGATTCTCATCAGCAGAGGGAGACACTGAAGTGATTGTCAACAAACACAAAAGCCACAAAGAGTGGAGGTCCAAAGTACTATCAATCATGATGTGCAAAATCCGCATTTTATCTTCGGACATTTGCTAGCTTCCTTTTTCAAAGAAAAAACTGGGAATGCAGATCCCACTGTGAACCGTCCTTCAGCGTGAACACAAAGCCGATGAACATGTCAAATTAATTGGACGGATCAGATCAAAGTTTTCTAATTGAGACAGCTGACTTCCACACAGAAAATTCCTCTGGACCTAAAATAGATGAAACGCACTGATTGTGTCACTAAGTACTTGACCGGCAGTATTGAGAGGGAGGGTGAAATATGTGTGTGTGCATTGTGTGTGTGTGTGAGCAGGGACTTATGGTGTCTGATTCCGTCTCCTTATACAGTCATGAGTGAGGAATGCTGCCCGTGAGAATCCGCTCTTCTCCCCCCCCTCCCCCCCCATTTTTTCTTTGATTCATTCCGGTTTGGCTCCCTCGCTCGGCCATAATTTAAAAAAAAATTTTTCCGTGGATTAATTTCTAATATCAGGTAAACTGCAAGACGCAACCACACACTCCAGCCATTTTCATTCTAACTCGCCAATGTGGAATCAATGAGGAAATGTTTGACCTTCCTTATCACTTGCTGCGTGTGTGTCCATGTTTGGTTATAATACAGCAGGTCGGCAACACTGTGTGTGTGTGTGTGTGTGTGTGTGTGTGTGTGTGTGTGTGTGTGTGTGTGTGTGTGTGTGTGTGTGAGTGTTTGCTTGTGTGTTTGATCCTTCCTGCTGCCAACATAGTGGCCCCTGGGATCCAGGAATACATTTTCGGACCAACGAGGGTCAGACCATTCCAACATCAGTATGTTCAGGCCGTTGCACTTTTCTTTTCCATGGATAAATATATTTATATTTTTTTAAGAGTAACCACATCGTAAAGCGGAACAAGTCATATTTTTTCACAGCTTTCGCACAGAAAGTAATTGAGTTGTGCAGAATGAAGAAAAATGTTAAAGGCAACCTTTATTACTCCTTCAAACCCTAGAAATGCAGCGCACACCTGATACTCTCCTTCCGTTCATACATTTCACAATAAAAGCCCTAGACATATTGTATATGGCTGAAGGATAACTCACTAAACGAGTGTACAGTAGCATATAACATATATACCCATGAGACATATTCATAATTCATGTAGGATGACATGTTTATTGCCACCATGTCCCACATGTCTCGTACGTTCAAAACAAGTACGACTCATAGGTTCAGAGATCGTGAGGATGTTTATAAGAGGTGCACGAGTGCTTTGCACAAACATACCCACTCAACTCTGTGTATTTCTATTAAATCTGGGCAATATTGTTCTTGAAATTAGTTATTTATTATATAAAAAGTGTTGAAGTATGATTTTAATTTGGGACATTTGTTTGATATTCAGTTGACTACCTACAAACAATCACATATCCGGCTATATTCATATATGTGTGACACTAAGTCACAAAATTTTGACTTTGTGGTTACGTTGACTAACTGGACCGTATTGAATTTTAATTCAATACCCCTGACCTAAAGGGATCATTCCGTGAGAAATCCACGTTTTTGCCACACTTTTAATCACAACAGCTTGTGGTTAAATGTTCCCCGTCAAATTTTTACTAACCTTGATTTATCGGTTTATGTTATTTGAAGTTATTTGCTTCCTTTTAAATCACTGTTGAGTTTGATTTAAATCCCACTGACGTAAGAACATGTCAGAAACATTGAGAAAAAGTGTTTAACTGTCGGGAAGTTGCCTTTTCTCTTGCCCCCTCCGCATGGCGGTCAGCAAGATGACTGAAGAGGCTGGTAGAGATGTCATATCTGCTCAATGGTGCCCCAGCAGGAACCCCCCTTTAAAGATGAATGCTTGGTGAGAAAACGTATGACCACGGACCTCATTGTATAACAGTTGCACAAATGGCGTGTGTAAAATCCAGTGCACAAAGCGGCAAACGCCGGGTGTGACAAGCGCAGTCAATGTCGAAGTAATTCACGTTGTATGTGTATGAGAACACAACGTTAGCTAAGCATCAAAAGCCAAAGCAGGTCAGTCCAAATGTCTACTGGAGCATTAAATGCAACCTATGTGTGTCAATTGAAGATAAAGTAGTTTTATTGTTTTCTAAAAAGAAGAACAAATTTTACATAAACCTTGCGATATTGTTGCCCGTTTATGATACACTGGCGATAATAAGCAGGAATAATTAGCTGCAGTTAACAGACCAACTGTTATATAGCATTACATTCAATTATTCTTGATCTCGTTCTAACACAGGGATTTATGTGAAAGCTGCATGTCTTTCTCAGTTAAAATGTGTTAAAAATTGAACATTAAATAGAATCTCTGGATAGGTTGACCTAATGGCATTTGCTCTATGGGGAACGACAGAATATCACATCTACCAAAAGCAGCTTGGGAGATTTATCAGTACTGACGAGAACCAGGAAATCTAAAAGGAAAAAAAAAAAATATATATATATATATATATATATATATTTTTTTTTTTTCCCTATATATATATATATCCTATATATATATATATATATATGAATGCTAAATTTATATTTGCAGAATAAACAAATTTCTGACGATAATAATGTTACTGTGAATTATTACACTTATAACGCTAATCTTGTAGAGAAAATGCCATTATGACGGCCCAACTTTGAACCCCAATGGATCCGAAGCTGCTGTACTTCCTCTACTGTAAATACTTCAGTCGCTGTGTCTGTTAACTATTCACTATCGCACACAGATTCTTCCAAAGAAATGCCTCACCACCATTCATGCACCATATGAATTAAGAGTAAAGGCCATTTTTTCTTTCTCTGGAAACAGTCTGATGAAGGTTCGAGCAATTCATAGTTCACCGACCTTTTTGTCTCGCAGTGAAAACAGCAGTAGAGAAAACATGTCTGCAGATAAGTAGAGCGGTGCTCTGCCCACTGACGCAGAACACTTCCTCGCACTGCTGTTTTTAAATGTAATGAAACATTTAATACTTTAGTGGTTGGCCTGTGTCACACCATCCATCTATTTATCCACTAGCCGTCCAACTACAGTGCCTCTCTTCTTCCTTTTCCTTACTCCGTTTTATTTGTATATTTTATCTTCTCACACTTCCTTTTCCTCAGTTTATCAGTTCTTCTCTTCAGTAATAGTACCCTTCATCTCTCCATTCCCTGTATTATTTACTACTTCCCTCCTTAAGCAATGAATACTGTCTGTATACAGTGTGTACGTACATTATGTGACACAACACACACTGCAGAGACACACGCTCTACTTGGAAAATTCTCCAGCCAATTTCACGCCTCGGCATTGAAGTATCTCGTTGTGGTTTCCGGCATGACGTACCACACTACGTTGGCACAAAGACAGCATTCTTGCACCGCAATTATTAGCTCTTATGTAACGGCAGGCCGACCTCTGTCTGTGGGCGCCGGCATCCTTGACCTTTTCCTCTACAGCGCTCTATGTTGATTATTATGAAAGAGACGCTGAAGACTGGCCTGAGCGAGAATGCGGGACGATACAATAGTGCACTGTATTTCTATATCTGTAAAATCATAAAACTCCAAACCATCTCAGGCTTAAACTTGGGCATTGTCTCTAGAAATAACTACCTGTGTTCATTAAGCGCTTTCATTTCATCTCTCTGAAGTGTTTTAATTAAGTGTTTAATCACTAATAGCAATGATAACTGATCTAATGTGTCAGTCCTACTTCAAATACAAATCACTAAAGATTAAACTCTAATATATCATCTGCATGCAGTGTTATGTGTAAAATGCTGATATCTCAGTTTCCGCTACGCTTACTTTAATTTAATATGTTGGATGCCTTTTAATTCTGCAGCGGTGGGTGCTTTACTTGGTACTCGGCGTTAACGTTAACAGAGTCTCATGGGTACCCAAAAGTCGGATCTTCTTCTGGTTTCTGGGGACAAAAAAATAGTGAGCAGTAATGGCCTCTGATTGTTCCATATTGTGTCCTCTGTGATTGAGAGATTACAAATGCTCAGGATGTGGCCAAAATAAAGAAAATCCAATGGGAGACAGACATCCTCCTGTTAGATGAAATGAATACTATCCTTGAAATAAGCATGATAATGGTGGCTATTAGTTGTTGATACAGAGACCAGAGTGTTTTATGTATCAACGCCAAAATTATGAGCTAGGGCAAAACAGAGCGACTTTGTTTAATCCACTTAGAAAAAATCCCCCAAACTGAATTTCCCGATCAAAATAGATGAACTGAACACAAAGTAAAAGGAGAGCGCTGTGTGCTATTGTTGTTGCTATTTACCCTTTTGCCAAAATGCTGCTGCATCGTGATTTTTTGGGAGAAATCTTGTGATTCCGTTGTATAATAAAGCACCCCCATAAAACCAAAATGGAATTCTTCATTTCATAACCATTTTTTTCCTGCACCTTTATTGTCGATTCGTCAAAAAAATGTTGGCTAACACACAAATAAGGGAGTGTGCATCTATTCTCATTGACCAGAAGGCTTTTTGTGCTGGTTTCCAAACGCTAACTAAGCAAATTATAAATGAGGGATTTCTACCAATCTCCATGACTTGTGAATGCATGCTTGTATGCTTGTCTCTGTGTGTGTGTGTGTGTGTGTGTGTGTGTGTGTGTGTGTGTGTGTGTGTGTGTGTGTGTGTGTGTGTGTGTGTGTGTGTGTGTGTGTGTTTTTACCGGCAGACGGTGATGCTCCCTTGCTCCAAGTTCTGCGGTGCGGTGCCGGGTTTAAAGTTGGACACGTTGAAGTAGGAGAGCGTGTGGTCAATGAAGCCGTGCATGGTGCCGGTCTGACTGAACATGTACTGGTAGACGAGCCGAGGGATGAAGTCTGACGTGAAGGAGATCACAAAGGCCTCCGGAGAGAAAGACAGAGACGGAGTCAAACGTTTTTGTAAAAGTGAATATTTGTCAAAACTCTAACATGTTAACAAAACTCAACATTTAAGGGAAGAGCTGCAGGGGTCAGACTGTTTAAAGTTCAAACAAGTTTAAATTATGTTCTCGTACAAGATACATGCACAAAAGGGAATTTCCCCTGCCAACGTTCCACTGCCTTAAAGCTCCTGGGGCAGCTTACGGTTTCGGTGTCCAATGCCCAAAGCTCTAGAATTAATAAAAAAAACTGCTGTTTTTTTATACAAATCCCCTCAGTATTAAAAGTAAACAGAATAGGATTTGCTTTGCTGGCCAAAGACAAATCCCAATAAGAACTTTCCTGACTCCTAAACACAGCTTGCAGATCAGCACCTTGTTTCAGACGAGGTCCCGTAGAGGTCAAATCTCTACATATTAACAAATATCACTATCAGAGATGGATAATTCAAAGTATGAGAACGAGACTGCACTTTTGTCTTTCATAATAAGTCAACTGTTTATGTTTTTTAATTTCTAAATAAATATGATCAATGAAACTGTGTTTGAAAGTTTTCTAAATATGCTATTTTACTCACAGAATATGAATTTAAAGAGGAAACAGTTTCAGGATAAGATGAAGGCTATAGCATGTGTTAATAATAAAATAATAAAATGCTAAAATATTATTATTCAATTCCTGACATTTTGGCTTTGCTTTTTGTAAAGTAAAAAAAGGAATCTTCTACAACCCGAACTGCACATTGAGCTACAAACGTCCAACATTTCCTCTCACGTTAGTATATTATACACTAATACTGATGATACTAAATCATATATTTTTTTCTGGTACTATTTATCAGCCTATATAGTTTTGGTGCAAGTAGAGATGTTTGCTTTCTACTTTTTCGGTGCATTTATTTTGAATTTATCTGCGTTCATCACTTCTGCAATGAGCGTGATGCAGGGACATGCATTAATACTTACATTGATAATGACTGAGAATTTTCCCATTCCACTCAGTATGTTGTACCATATACCTGTAGAAAGAACAGAAGATGGAGAATGGTTGGGGCAATAAGGGGAAGGAGAAGGAGAAAGGTCTTTATTAAGCACGGGGAGGGAGTCAATTTAACTGATTAATTAAAATCTACAACAACGCCAGTCGGTCTCTTGCTTCGTCTGAATGTTCCAACCAAATTTTTTGAATTGATACGTGGTAGTAGCATGGCTAGAAAAGGACATTCTCTACAACTTTTAAATCCCTCTCATTGTCTTTAAAATAATTTCGGTACTCTCAAAACTGCAGAGGTCAAGTCAAGAGACGGCGCCTGTTACGGATTTCCACTAAAAATATTGCATTTAGGAGACGTGGGCATTCTGCTTCCATGTTATGGAAGACATATTCTATAATTATTGTTTTATGGTATTTTCTGTGCATATAATGGTGTTTTTTGAAATGCATTACATTGTTATTTGGCCCTGAGCAGCCCCTGTGTCGTCTTGACCGCTAGTATCTACAAAACCATATCAAATCTGGTACTTGTCTAAATGTTCAGCCGTGGCTGTATAAGTTACGCAGAGTAAGCTATGCTGTGTGTTTTTTTCACTTGTGTCACACCCAACTTACCAATGTCTTTAGCCCGTACGGCGACCGGCCTGCGTAGCTCCGTAACAAACTTTTTGGCATCCAGTCGGATCTCGATGATGTTGTTGAGCAGAGCGAAGAGCGGAGCGAGTGGGAACGAAGCCACAAACAGAGAGACGAAACCAAACTGGATGACTGGAGAGAACAGAAGGGCAATCGTCAAACATGACAAATATTCGGAAGATCGTTAAAGCCATTTGTCCCAACTGAATATGTTTAATAGGTCCTTTCATTATTGGATGTCTGTGGCTGGAATTCAAGGCCACATTGTTTGAAGCAACAACAACTACCTGGGGGCGTACATCCTGCACAACGTCGGCAACTGCGCATGTGCGACTCTCAACCGAGAAGAAAAAGAAGCCAGATGGCTAAATATTATTAATTATTAATTACTAATTAGTGAGCCATCCTCTCAGCTCAGCTGCTGAGACGGACGTGCATGGTGCCCTTTGGGCAGAGCTGGACATTTCTTGAAGATTGGGTGAAACTCGATATAAAAAGATCTATGGCTTCTCTGCAAATACTTGTTGACGTTTTACGAATTTAACCACAATAAGAGCAATCATATTACACCACCACCCGGTTTTAGGCTATAGTCTTATTATCATTTGTACTACAGTGAGCTATATTCTATATAGACAAGTTCACTTCAACTCAGTAAAGCACTAAGTGTGTGAATACAATTATGTCTGTAATATGTTTATAGTAAATATACAGTATAGTAAATATAGAAATAAGAAGTTAAGAAAATTAGTTACAATAATAATAGTATCAATGTGTTTATTAAGGTAATTAATGTGATCCAAACTAAAAGCAATATGGTCACTGAAGAAGTAATGACATTAAAAGGAAACACTGGTACAAACAATTCTGTGGTTTAACAACACGTCATAAATCTGACGCAGACTTGTTTCTACAAATGAAAGAGAAAACCTGCTAAGGTATAGTTGAATGAGGCCCGTTGTTTATTATCAGTCTGCTGCTGATGTTCAGATGTTCATCAGAAATGATCTCACAAAACGGCGAGAGGGCAGCTTGCCTCACATCTCACAGCGACCAGTTACATAACTCACTGTATGACCGACATGAAAAAAACATAGTTACCCTTTTCCACCACAGGGCAGTTAAAACAAAGACTTTGTTGAGACTTCAGTTTAATGGAGAAAACAAATGTCATGGGTGGCTGCTACTGTGTCTACTTGTGTCGAGCTGCAAACGTTGCAAAGGGCTTCCTCTACTGTCCTCGCTGCCTCGCTGCCGAGTTTGCAGGCAGATGCGGTGGAAGATAATCACTTTGTTCTTTGTCCAGCCTTATCTCAGAGCACACTGATTTGATTTAGAGCCTCCAAAGAGGTTGTTCAGTGCTCCGATTCAAAGAAGAATTTGTTAGAGATAGACATTTTTTCATCTAAACACGTCTTGATAGATACCTCAGATCACCTCAGAGATTCCCCTCGAGCCAAACTGCAGCATATCCACACCAGACCATCAAATAAAAATAAATACATTTGCAATACTCGCCTTATTTAGAAAATGGCAGATGGCATATGATGCGAGACACGTGACAATCACTGTCCCGTGTTTGCCTTGAAACACATGTCTGTGCATGCTTTGCTATGCCATTAAAAAACCCACAGCCATCTCTACATGAATGAGACCCACATTTAAGAAAAGGAACACAAAAAAACACATGTGGAGCCGCTGCTGAGACGCCGTGGGATTGACGGGCTGGTGAACAGCCATTGGTCTGGCCAGCATCACGCTCTGTGGCTCAGAGGACGCCTTTTAAGGTTACACACTCTGCATCAGCCCAACTCAGAAGTCCTTTTTTTAAATTAAGCAGTGTGTGTGTGTGTGTGTGTGTGTGTGTGTGTGTGTGTGTGTGTGTGTGTGTGTGTGTGTGTGTGTGTGTGTGTGTGTGTGTGTGCGTGTGTGTGTGCACGTTACGTAATTCGGCAAGAATAGATAACACAACAGACACACAACATCCGGGACTGAAAATTCAAACTCGATGAAATGTATTGGTCAGTGGATCACAAATTCACACACGGAGCGTGACCCTTTAATTCCATTTCAAAACTATTTCTGGAGATATTCTGACTCAATTTTATAAGCGGGAACCAGAGATATAGATGTTTCTCTTTTCTGAATCATCATAGCAACCATTTGAAACACCAGGAGAGTTTAATATATATAGTTTAAAACGTTTTCAACACTTTGTGAGTTCCGCTGTAAAATTTAAAAAATATTGACACTCCTATAAAGTGCCTATTTATCACCAATGCATTAATTCTAAATACAGTTAAAACGTGAGCTTTCTGTATGTGTGGCCTTGCACGTGGAGTGAGTGCAACGCCTACATATCGGCTGCTGCTCCTGAGGCTCTCAGTATGGAGCCTCCTTGTGGAGAAAGTGCCAGCGCCAACTTAGATAGTAGTCTTAAAAGACTAGTCCAGGTTCAGCACTCCCTTTGGCCTTAGGGTCCGATCAGCTGCATTGAGGCTGCCGTTTGTGCAGCTTAATCCAAGTCTGTTTAGGATTTTCACTCGACCCTTACTATGGAACACGGCAGCAGCGAGCCTCATGGAGCAGTGTGTTGAATGTTTTCCTTAAGAAACACACAATTGGTGAAAGGATGTGACCTCTTCCCCCAGTACTGCTGCAACGAGCTCAATGAATGCTCAAACAGGCAGTCACCTGCTACCCAAGAATGCGCAGAGGGAAACCCGAGACGGACGCAACGCTTTGCCTGACTTTCTGCGGATGTGCGCCTCCGATCGGAGCTGTGGAACCTTAGCAGTGTGGGAACGGGGACTTCCAGCGGGCCGGAGGCTGGCGGCCTCAGCTCGGGACGCCACGCCGAGACAAAGAGCGAGGAAGAGAATACGACAGCGGGCGAGCGCCAGAGGGCCAGCTTGGAATAACCCCTCGCTGTCTATCTGAGCCCCGGCTAACGGGTTGGATGCTGGGCCCACAGATATGTACAAAAACACTCTCAGAAATAATAAAGCGCCCGGAACTCAGAGCGAGTGTGTGAGTGCGTGTTTCTTACATTCCTCGCTTCGCCCTGCAGCGACGTCCGCTATATAGTCCACCAGTGATGTGAGTAGTTGTATCTGACCAAAGGGTTCAATCCAGCCATCTGAATCACTTCGCAGAGGGTGAGATGCAAGGAGGAGGAAAGGCAACGCTCAGCTCTGTCGTTTAAAGCGGGCGGCCTCGTGTGTGACATGCGTACGCACGCTGGTCTCATCCAGCATTTGTGGCAAAAAGCTACAGAAATCAAAGCATCGTACTTTGTGGATATCCCACAAAAACTATTAGTTATCCAAGATGAGGAACAAACATTACTTCCAATTTAAAATATCACGGAAATCTTCATATTCTTTTATGACTTTGACCACAGGCCAGATTCACCACCAGGTGCAGCTGATCATTAAGTAAAGCTTGTTGCTGCATGTTGGCTGAACACGTTGGGAGTTTCTTTTCATAACGCTAACTTCCTCATGTCCTACGGTGACCTGGAGCACCCAGTCGGTGTCACGGAGAAAAACCAAGGATTGTCCGGAAAGACGTTACGCTGAGGGACAGGAACCCCACAGGATGGCAGACGGACCGACACGGGACACACGCGGCTCAAATACACCGAGAAGGTTACTTTTGTTTGAAACATTGGTTCTGAGCCACTTCCGCCGCTAAACGTCACACTGGAGGCACTCAAGGTTTGAGGCTCGAGGAAATTAAAGCTACAGGTGGTAACTTCAATAGAACTCAAACTGTCCCTAAAACCTGACAGGAGACAGATAATCTGTGAAAAGAACCTTTTGTAATATTATTGTGTAAATGTAGATATAATTCTACGTTAAGATACTTGATGTTGTTGCTTCAGAGCATAAGGTAACTCCAGAATGTAGGATCACTCATGTTATTTTGCTAATATCATTGCTTCTTTCGTAAGTCGAAGGAAATGCATGTGAGATATGGATTGTTAGTGTTTAAGCAACAGCAATGTTGTACTTACGGTTACTTCTTTTGAATGTGGGTTCAACACTAAAAGGCTTCTTTTTGGAAGAAACGGGGTGAACGAAACTGAAAGCTCTTCAAAAAACTTTTTGCTCGCTGGACTTCTCATAAACAGCTGAGAGTGATTATGCAGGAGGGAGGAAAAACCTTAAATCCTCAGTGTTTATGTGCTTTGGTTTGTGCATGGCATGAGTGTAAATCATTATTTATATGCCAACAAGTCCTGCATAGTAGAAATGTAAAAATATAATAAGAGTCATAATTTAAATTTGATTTGAACAACTCACTGTGTGTATGTGTATGAGAGCACAAATGCATCTTAAAAGGATATGCTCCTCAGTCCATCACAGACACAGCTTACATAATCCCCTCTCAATGACGTACAGCAGCACTTCATTTTAAACATACGGTGTTGCCTGAGTGGCTGCACTAATGCAGCTAAGTTCCTGTGTGCGTGCATGCAGACTCACTCATTTCCATGTATTCAGGCGTGAGGCCGTCAAAGGGAGCCAGGGCGTAGTCCAGGTTCCACTGCTTTGGAGGCCTCTCCTCCTCCATCTCCTTCTCTGCCGTTCCTTTATCCTTCAACGCGCGCACCAGCTTCTTCAACTTCCTGTCAGGACAGAGAGGGGACGTTAAAAAGCTGAAATGTCTTTACTTACATTTAGTGAGTAAAAGTTGAAAATAAAACAAGTACAGTAATGTAGCAGTGAATAAACAGGATTCCAACGTATTTAATGTGCTGTTTGTTGCATTGCTGTTAGGTGTCTTTTTTGACCCCAGGACGTGTCAGAGTTGGACATTTTGCTTCAAAGCGAGATAATGCTCAAACTGTTCCTGTATTTTGACAGAAGTACACGTGAAAAAAGCAGGTTGTGTGAGAGAGTTTTGTTAAAATTACCAACTGCAGCTTTGACAGAAGTCAATTGTTACGTGGTCACAGAGTTGCTCTTATTTGTTCAAGGTGAGTTGAACTGTATTTAACATTCAATTTGTTATCTATCGAAGTTGAAACAATGCCTCTTTACTGCAGCTGGAAGACGGAATTCTCCTGAAAAATACATTTTCCTATAAAAAAAAACAGCTGTATTTCATTTACAAGGCACTGGACAATAGCATTTATGTGAATGGTGCACGTGAAGCCGGGTGGTGCTGGCGTATGAGATGTGCCCTCACTTCCTGGGACAAGAGGGGCCTAAGGACCTCTTAAAGAGACCTACTGGGGAGAAGTAGTCAATAGATAGTACTGGTGGGAAAACAGAGAGAGCTAAGTACAGTCCAAAAGTATGTATGTATGTATGTTCTATGTGTGAACCCATGCATGTGCGACTGTGTTTAATGGAAAACACATTACGGTGTGTGGCAGTGTGTTTGCAGTGAATGCACGTGACTGTGTTTACTGCACTAATAAAAACTCTAACAAGAGCAGCTAAATGCTCAACTGCATTATTAATGTAGTTATCACACACAAACACACACACACACACACAGCACGACACATTCAGGGAGGCAGTAATAATGTAAATATTGACTATCCTTTAAACACGTGAACACTCATAGGAGGTAGATGTAGACATACAGCACATGTCCACAACCAAACACAGACACACTGCTGCTCCCTGCTGCGGACACAAAGGACATTAGAGGTTTCTGATGCAGGTCAGGGCTCCTTCACTCTCTGCGTAAACGTCTTATGTATGTTTACCGTTTCTCTCTTTTTGAATAAACTACTCTGTTAGGTCATGTGACCGGTGGAAAAATGCAAAGCCTCACTCAAAATTGTATTTCATATTTCATGAAGGAATCCGGTTATTTCATTCAATGTACACATAATAATATTTCTTACCATTTTTATGTGAATGCGAAAGGGTTTCAGATAATTACCAATTTTACTGCAGTCTAATGCAAGATTTTCTCCGGAGCTGGTGTTTTTAACTGGCATTCATCATGTGATCAGAAACAGGACTCCACGCGGAATGATGTGTGCGTGTTCACCACGTAAACCATAAGCAGCATTTTTTGGGTCTTTGCTATTGTGATTAGGTTGGTATTTTTCTGCCCTCTAGTGGTCCAAATAAATTATTAAATATTTAAAGACAATAGGAATTTGTGACAATAGAAATGTTGGCTTTGATTCAGTATTCACTGAATGCATGATAACAATACTTCTAATGTATTTTTTATTTTTTATTTTTAACTCAATGAGCATGATACACAAACGGGTTTTAAAGTCTCACACTGGAAACCCCACAACATCCACCAATAAAGTTTTACACTGTGGGCTGGAACCATATGATTTTTTGTTTCCAAGATTTTTTGACAAAATCAAAGTAATAGCTATTGCACAATTTGTCCACATTCCAAATCTCAATATGTCACGCTACGTTAACGAGACAAAAAGCACACCAGTGTTAAATAATTACACAAGCCATGACTGCTGGGGCTCATTTGTACTGGTTTCAGGGCCTTTACTGTACTAGTCTGTACTGGTTTTTAAAGTGAAGGTTAATCTCCTCCATTTGGGTTCAGGTACAATTAAAGCTTTTGGTGCTTGTTTTTTACCACCGTGCTCCCATGCTTGTAAGCGGATGAATGTAAAACAGATGAGTAGGTGGTATGTGGTCGCCGAACCCTTGGGACGTCCAGGGAGAAAACCAGACGTGTCTGACGAGACTCACCCTGCGGGACGGGAGGTCAGGCTGTGCTCACTGCAACAGTTACAGTTACCAAAAAGGCATCTCTGTGTGACAGTTAACTATAAACAGAGTTGATCTCTGACCCCTTTGGGATTAGCGTGCAAGAGCTGAAGATGAAGAGGCCCCGTAGGGAAATGGGAGGTGTTTTATTAGAAGAAGAAGGGAATCTTCTAAATCCTTGGGAGAGAGCATGCGTGTGTGTGTGTGTCGCTGCGTGCGCGCGCGCGTGTGTCGCTGCGTGCGCGCGCGTGTGTGTGTGTGTATGTGCGAAAGTAAAAGAAAGAAAGTAATCTTCTTACGGGATTCCGATTTCAAAGATGTTGTTCTGGATCAGCTGCTTCCCCAGCATGATGATGCTGAGCTGGATGCACAGCTCGATGAGGCAGCCTCCTGGCGCACACTGAGGGAGACACGCGCCTTGTGATTCATTCATTATCCCTTTTGCTTTCACTTATTTTTCCAAATCAAAAGAAAACAAGGGTGCAAAGTCGGGTAACAAACCTCTTCCATCCGATAATGGTTAAAGACGTACACATAGCTTCCAGGTCGACCAGCAAACCTGGGGGAAAAGAAACACACAATAAGCACCGAGCGGCTACGTAAACGGAATGATTAAATGCTTCTTTGGGGTTTGAGACAACGCTCGTCATTGGACTAAACAAAACCTATTGGTTTGGCTGAAACACGCACAATCACAGGACCATCTCACAGGACAGCGCTGCACAAAGACACTCTCAGGAACACACACGGGACTTACCGTCCCTTGAAGAAGGCCACGTAAAAGATGGGTGCATACGCATTCATAAACTTGAGGAGGAAGGCTTTCAGGATGAGCCGCTCCTCAAAGTGGGTTTCGGTTTTAGGAATTTCTGAAAGACAAGGTGAACTGTGACTGTAAGGAGGATCGGTTAGAATTATTATCATTAGAAGCCATGTGAGCGCAGTGCAGAGCGCTAGCAATTAGCTGCTCACATGCATTGGCATAGGAGACGGACCGCATGAGCCACACACAGAGAAGTTCAGACCCAGAGAGAGAACGGCTTCATTCTCTGCTCAACTTTATCTTCACATTAACTCTCATTATTTTCAGAATTTTGAATTCAGCACCTTTAAAAGCACATATGCAGGTGGGTGTATGTTGAAGTGTTGTCCTCAGTATGTGTCTTTTGTCCAGGGTGAAGCAGAACATTATGTGTGAAGTGGTGACTCTCTCTCTCTCTCTCTCTCAAATTTTCTCACACTTCTCTGTCCCATTATGTCTTTCTATTTCAGAGGTTTTGAATATGAAATCTCTTAGGATGACTGATGGGTTGAGTGGAGCATGAACACATTAAAGTTTCATCTGTCCAACTTCGACTCTCGCATGGCATCATGTAGGATAATATTATTGTATCATAAAATAATTATATATATATATATATATATATATATATATATATATATATATATATATATATATATATATATATATATATATATATATTTAGATCAGGCCAGCAGATTTAGGATATGTTGTAAAGTTTTGTATACCTCATTGCAAGCCTTTCATAGTAAGAAAGGTAGGTAAAATCAAACAGAGCAGCCTTATGGATCTGGGCCCTGTTCCTCGTACGTGGCTAACTGAGTTAGCCGGATCATTTTCAGGATGAGATGACGTAGTTCAGGCTTTTCGGTTCCCCGAAGCAGGTTTGTCTAAATCACCTTAGCAACACATCGGAAAACTTGAACCTGCTCTGGCGCAGGTTCATTTAAGCTGCTGGATTAGTTCATCACTCCCCCGGAAAAAAAGGGCAACTCACTTCCTCATTGATGAAGGAGCAATATCCGTTAGATTAACGTTTTATAGGGAGAGACTTCTCCGAGATCACAAAGACACGTTTAGCCGCGATGACGTCCTGTACGAGCGCTACAGATGCTGAGGACAAGGAATCATTTATTTACAAGAAGATTTCCCCGAGCCAAAACGTCACATACTGTCCCACGGACTCCCACTGTCTCTCACACTGTCCATGTCTGTACGGTGTTGCGATGCAGAGAACATCTGGAAAGCCGCTGCATGTCGTGCTCTTTGTAAAGTTCTGTTTATTCGGTTTATTTGTCGCTTAATAAACTTCTGGATGTTCCACATTTCACTGCTTCAATTGATCAAATGTCTGATTATGAACAATGGATATATAATGATTCTCCCATACACATTCACACACATATAATAAAACTCCTAGTTCTATATGGTCATCTACATACACATGATACCTAAGCTGATACATATATCCTATTCATTCGTATCAATTTGATTCTTTGGGCTTGTTTTCATCTACATACTCTTTGGCTTTCAGAGTATGTAGATGAGATTTTTTACAATAGGCTCCTTTCAAAAGTAACCATAATTTACTAAATAAGTATGTAGGCTACAATAGGTTTTTCCTTTTCCATTTAAAAACTGTAAATTTAAATTATAAACAATGTTTTCTTAATACTGTGGATAAAACCCTAAAACTCTCATTGGATGATAATGCGTTAAATTCATCTGACAGAAATGATTCAAATTAACATATTATCTCATCATATGTGTTCATGATCATCTCCTACTAGTCAGGGAAGAAAAAAAATGGTCTTCCTTTAAGTTTATTTGCCATTACAGTGTTAAAAATCCTAGTTTTGGTGATCGACTCTTCCGCCTTCTGACGTAAGACGCGCACACGCGATCATCCTGATGACTGACATCTGGTTCACACCAACGAGACGGTTTGAGCGCCGATCCACCTTCGAGGAGCCGAGATAGCCTGATGTCCATCTTCTTGGTAATTTGAGTTGGATAATCGGACATTTGATTGACTTAGTTGAACCACGTACGAGGAGCAGGGCCCTGGACAAGCTGAATGAAGCTAACTTTAATGTTTAAAATTATAATCACATTCAAGGAAACACTCCACTTTGTTTGTGAAAGACTGATAGCTTGAATACGCTGTCATATTTGTATCACTACAAGCAGCTATTTATTAAGATATTCTGTACGTACACTGGTTTCAGTTTCATGGGGATGTTATGTTGTTTTATCTTTGGATAAACTGCAGCAAACAGTTCCCTCCTGCTCCCAGTCATTTTGCTAAGCTAACCGTTGCGAGCTCTGGCTTCGTATTTAACAGACAGACACAAGTACTATCCATCTTCTCATCTGTTCCTTCTCTGTCCTACAATGTTGAAACTTTTCATTTAGCTATGACGATAGTAAGTCAATATAAATATCGAGGCTAGCTGGGAGCTTTTAGGTTGCTGAGGCCCCTGCGCCAAAAGAGCCAATGAATGTGTTTGAGTACCTAGCTCAGTTAGCCACAATGCCACCGCGCCGTAGATCTCATCAAGGATCAGAATAACCACCAAGTTGATGATGACCGCGGTGGCCGTCACAGTCACCCGGACATTGGACTTGGTGTCCGGGTCGGGGCTCATCGCCATCAGGGCCGACACCGTGATGCGGTAGATGATGACGCCAAAAACAGCTGAAAAGGTCAAGCCAAACTGCGAGCATAAAGGAAGAAATACAAGAAAAGAAAATAGTCATTTCTCCATCTGGTCGCAGTGCAGAGGCTGGATTTAATATTTCAAAAGACCACACGGATGTAGGTCAGCCATATTATCATGTACATTAAATGTGTCTTCATCTTTCTAGTTAAAGTGCTTTCATCCACATATACTGAGAATATGTATGATCCTAAGCACAGCACTGGGCTGATGTACATGTACTAACCATGAAGAGGACAGAGGAGACATTGATGAAGTATCCAGGAAGACGGTCTTTCCAGGTCAACTTCTCTATGGCAGCCTGACAGGAAGGACGAGGGGACACATGGGAGGAGACGAGAGGTAAAGAGAGCCATTGGTGAGTCACACAAACGGCCGCTGCTTCGTAAAATACAGTAATTACTTTTGTTTCCCTACTGGGACGTCATAAAAGAGAAAAGAAATAAGATGTCTGCATTGATTCTCCAAATCTATTTCTCAAGTGTCCCGATGTGAAATGCATTGTCACACTTCCTTTTTACTCCTTTCAAAACGTTTTGTAAAAGCCAAATGGAGATTTGAGCAGCATCTGCTATTCACCGCCTCCACAGGAAGCGCTTGCACGTCTCAAAAGAGGGACACAAAGGAGCACAATGGCCTGTTTTTACAGTTTGCATCCTCCATTTAAAGACCAGTGGGAAAAGTGTTTTCATTTCTGTGCAGTAACATGGGGTTGTGGGTGGAAATGGAAAAAAACAGATACTGTGCATAAAAACGTGGATCAGTAAAGCCATCTTTAATTATAATTGAATCTTAAGTGGAGCTAGTAAATGCTTTATATACAGGCAATTTGATGTTTCATGCCGGGTCTTTGTATGATTCATCACCACCAGGAAAGACTGAATCCCCAACAGCCTGTTAATAACGAGCTGACCTCTGACCTCCCTGTAGAGGAGGGCAAGGAGTGGCAACAAAAGTGAGGATTGTGTCGTTATTTCTTTATCCTTCTTCGAGAGGTGAAGACTAAAAGGTGCAGAGACAGTGTTGAGAACGGTCCGGTGCTCAAAAGGGAGGGAGAAATAACCTACGAGCTCCCCCCTAATACAAATCTAATGAGCGTTTATGCCAAAAAGTTGCTTCACCGGTCAGTCCGTGCCTGGTCCAATGAGGTTTGACCTCTCCGAAAACGAGTTCTCTTCATCCGTCATGCCTCAGGTTTGTGAACTCCATCACCCAGATACTCTACATATACATTCTTGTATGGGCAGTGCATTGTAACAGTGTAACGATGTTCAAGCCACCCTGTACATTGAAATCAACAGCCCCATCTAGTGGAGCGACCGGTACGGTGCACGTTTGTGACGTCACACAGACATAGAACATCCACACCACCTCAACTTTATCCAACACCATGCTCTTCACTTTGACCCTGTTTGGTTGATTTGGTGAATAGTACATTTTAAATAATAATACCAACAATAAAAACACATACTAAGGTTTGTCGGTCAAGTTCATTCTTGAATTGGAATAAAGGTTTGGTCAATTGTAGGTGTTATTCATTCAATCACACACAATAGCAGTGGGTATCGCAGACAGTCATGACGGAGAGCCTTTCTAGTCAATAGTTTATAAATATACATGAACATTATTTGTCCTCATTGAACATGCCGGAACATACTTTATACTTTTCATAGTAACAAATAAAAAGATTCTCAATAACTAAATGTCCAATGGCGTAAATTCAAGCAAGGCAGTAGCCTGCTATTCCAGTACTGCTTGTTATATGAATGTACACACACAGGTTGGGCGGCCTGAGGCTTATTGGGGGACGAAGGGACCTTCAGACGGGGAGTGTGTGAGTGTGTGTGTGATGGTTGGTGTTAGTAAATGGGTCATGTGTTATATTTGGGTTGTTACTACCTCCGTTGAGGAGAGCCCGGCAAAGCCTCATCTCGAGACGGACCCACTCTTTATTTCTCTAGGTCACTCACTCCCTCCGCTCGTCCTCCTCCTTCTCTATTCTTCAAACCCTGTTTGTCCTTTAGTGTGCCCGGTTTGGAAGCCTGAGGCTTCCTGATGAAAATGACCTGGAAACTATTGAAAATATGCTCAAAATCGTATCAGCATGCCTAATGTCGACGTTCCATGCGCTTCATTCTATGTTTCTTCAATGAATGAATAAATAAAGAAATGAATAGAGATATTGAACATTTAAAGCTACAGTATGTGGAGACTTAATCTTGTTAGAAAGATATTTATCTAAACACTCAGACTGCACAACATATTGCTTCAACATTGGCATTGCTACTCACAAGATGTTATCAAAGGAACGTATGAAGCTCTGGCGGCATTGCTGCTGAATCTCTGGAAGCCTCCCATTCTTACACACCGTTTGACTGCAGATATGCAACTCATCTAATGCTAACAATATTAAGAACTTATCAGTTCTTAAATATTTACAATGATCATCTGTAAATTTATATTACACAGATAAGAAACACTGACAAATTCTAATTTAAAATAATCAGTTAATAAATAAACACTAACGTAAGACAAAAAAATAGGAACTGCAGTCGGTCATATCATATCCACTTTGGATAGATACATGTTATGTTATATAAGTTATTCATTCCGTCATGAATAAATAAAGAAAGGCGTGTCTATTTGATAACTTTGTGTCCGTGGCGTTTGCCTCGCTCCCCGTAGAAGGTAAATAAGGTAAATAAACACTGCTCATTATTTGGAAATGTAATCTCCAGATTTGATCTTACCGTACTTCCATTGTCTCAGGTAACAAAAGTGCGCGTGTGTGTATAAAAGAGAGAGAGAAGGAAAGAGTGTCGCCATAGTGACGTTCCCTAATCTTACCCCTGGCTTCCTGCCCAGCGTGCCTCCCTCCCACTCAGCCCGCCCTCCCTCCGTTTCTCTCCATCCCACTGCGCCTACAAGTCGCTCTTTTATTCACACGTCTCTTTCTCTTTGTCTCCTTCCATGGCTCACGCTCACTGTGTCTTTTTATAATTTAGGTCCACGGACAATTGGTTGCAGGTGCAGACATAAAGTGACACCGTTCACAGCGGTTCTACGGGCGATTGTCTCAGCGATCACATTCAGCCGTCAGTCAACACCTGCAGTAAAAGGCCACACGGGTGTAAGTGTTGTCATGGATGACAACTCAGTCTGAATTAGCGAGCTGTTATTAATGTTTCTGGTTACACCTGTGCTTGATTTGCAAAAGTAAAAATAAAAAACTCTTTCACAAAAGTAAATCTTTAACAAATCTAGTCACAAATATATTGTGGTTGTTTTTTTTTCATTGCTCCATCGTGCTGCTTAAAAGACCACAGTGACCTCTCAAAACCAGTGACCCTAGCAGAAGATACTATTCGGGAGAATTATAGTAGCATGGAAGCTACCCTGGCACAACATGAGGACAAACCACGGCGTGATAACATATGGCTAATAAACCAGCCAGAGAAAAGTGAGAAAAGCGATCCCATTGGATTTATCTCATCATCTCTCCCAAAGTGGTTTCCAAATGTTACTGATGTCAAACTTGAGGTGATGAGAGCACATGGGATCGGTCCAGAACGAAACGGAGGACAACCCCGCACCCTGATTTTCAAGATGCTCCTCTTCACCGACAGAGACAAACTTCTTAAACACGATTATATGCGGATTACTGCAATTTCCCCACCAAACGACGACAGGAATACAATATGCCAGGTTATGGAAGCGGGCAGGAAGCAGGGCTTCAGCACCTTCTTGCCTCACATGTTCCAGACACACACGCAGGCTACAGGTTTAATTTAATATCATTGTCTGGGTCCTTATCTTAATAATAAGTCTGGCCTACAAGGAACCTTCTTAGGGTCGAACCTAGTGGGGTCGTTGTGGCGCAGGGGGTAGTGTGGGTGTGATGGGAACCGCAAGGTTGGTGGTTCAAGTCCTGGCTGCCCCATGTTTCAAGTCAAAGTGTCCCTGAGCAAGACACCTAACCCCTAATTGCTCCCCGGGCAAAATGTGAAAAAGCCATGGGTTTAAAGTGTAATGTAAGTAGCTTTGGATAAAAGCGTCAGCTAAATGACCTGTAATGTAATGTAAAGTTCATTTTCCTTTCCTGCTGACTGACAAGCAGGCAAGAATGAGTTGTTTCTAAATAACCAGCAGGTATCAGTTGGTAAGCAATGCATGTTACTGAATATGTTTATATAACCGCAGATCCTACAATAATGGATGGTTAATTATATTATGTCAATAGTTGTGTTGTGTTGAATGAAGGTACAAACCTTGTTGTTTTGGGGTATTTGTGGAATGGCAACTCACCTCAATAAAACTAAATCAAATCAATGAATACGAGGCCACTCTGTATGAACAACAAAATACCAGCTTCTTAGATGATAGGGGAAAACAAATGAAATCCGTACAAATGAAATTAAAGTCACTCTTAAGAGCCAGAGCAGAATTTCTAATTATTACTTCAACGGGTCCAGAACAAGTCACCGGTTGGCTTCAAACCTTCATAAGGGTGAGAAGTCTGCTAGTATTTTATTTATTGACACGGGTCTGAAAATAGTGTCAGACCCTAAAGAGGTCCACTCAGAATTGTATTCGCTCTACTCTAGAATGTGTACATCAGAAGTTAAACAGTGATACTTCTTTACTATTCTTTTGGATCTAGATGAGTCCACATCACCCTGATTGAACTTAAAGATGCAGTTACGGGGATGAAAAGGGGAAAATCACCAGGATAGGATGGTATTCCCTGACAATGTTATTTGACTTTTTGGGATCTCTTGCATCAGTTTCTACTGGACATGATTAACAGTGAAAGGAATTGATTTTTAGAGGACATCAATCTGGCTTTATTATCGGTATTAGCTAAACCTAGCAAAGATCTCACACTATGTAGCAGCTATAGACACTTGTCCATCCTTACTTCAGAGATTAAAGTGTTGCACGCATTTTAGCACCACGTCTTGAACCACATATGACCAGGTGAGTTCACTGTGACAGACTGGCTTTAATAAAACCCAATTGTGGCCAATTGGGTCTTAATAATAGCAATATGCGCCGCCTTTGCAAATAATCAATGCTGCAAATAATCAATGTTGCGAAAGATATGCTACCCTAAGCTTGGATACTGAAAAAGCTTTTCATAGGATGGAATGGGATTATTTGTGGAAAGGATTGGGGAGGTTTGGATTGGGCACAAATTTCATCAAGTTGATTCACTACTTTATAAAAACCCTACAGCTTTGATTGTAACTAATGGATTGCCTCCTCACAATTTCACATTACACAATCCTGTCGCCAAGGCTGTCCCTTTAGTCTCTCTTTCTTGCTCTTTCTCTTGAACCGCTGGCTCAAACTCTAAGAGAACATCTGTTTTCCCAATAACATCAGTCATGTAATTTCCTTATACACTGATGATATTCCATTATATGTTAACAAGAGTCCTATCTCTAATCCTCACATTTTAAGCATAGCTTTTTATCAGGTCATACAATAAAATGGACCAAATGAGCTCTTTTACCACTAAATCAACACTTAATACTGAGATCCATACCATCTGATATTCCCATTGTTAAACACTTTAAATACCTTGGAATTGAAATTTTCAAATCCCTGAACACAATTATCACAAAAACGTATAAGGGTATCTACAAATGAACAAAAACATGTTAAAATGAGCACAATACAGAGGCATACATCTAAAGGTGCGCTTTTAATATCAAACAAGCATTATTTTTCATATTTTGTTTTAAGACCACTCTCAACCTGGTGAAATCCAGACGCATCCGTATCTTGGAAGACAATTGAAGAATGCTTTTAGTCCCATAATGACATTTAAAAGGGATTTATATTTCTTGGTTAGTTACTGTGTAGATCAGATATCCGGAATAATGTAAAAAAAAAAGAAGAAAATGCAAAGAAAGTTGCACAAACAAAATACCTCAGCAGTTGATACTGTAGAAGCCAGAGGGAGGGACAGGAAGAGAAGAACAGAACTGCAGCCTGCAGGAGAGGAAATAAGTGGATAGGGGAGGTGAGGGAAAATGGAGATGAGGAGGAAGAAACGGGAGAACGGAGAGGAAAGGAGAAGGAAAGGGATCAGAGGAGGAAGAGGAGGGAGAGAGAAGAAATGAAAGGAGAGGAGGAAGAGCAGGGGGAGAGGAGGGGTTACCGGTATTCCTGCATTCATGGCAGACAGTAGTTTTTGTCTCCATCTGTCCTTCCCTGTCACTGTCCCGTCCTCCTGCTTCTCTAGCTGCAAGATAGAGGGACAAGTTACACACACACGCACACACACACACACACACACACACACACACACACACACACACACACACACACACACACACACACACACACACACACACACACACATGCACGCACACACACACAAACTAGCACCACATTCATGCAGAATGAGATGTATATCAGGCAATTTTCTTATTTCTAAAAATATAGTAATGTTATTAGTAATAATTAATTAGACTAATTGAGTTGTAGGAATCCAGTGTTTAATTTAAATCTAACCTCTATGTTTTTATTCCAAAAAAATGGTATTTCATTCTATTTAAGTCAGTTCATTTTTAGGATCTGTGTTGGAAAGGATCTTAGTACTACAAAACGGATTAGACGCCGTAATAACAGAAACACCGAACACGTTAGACAAGTCTGGTGGGAATCGTACAATTCTATTCATAAACCTGTTAGCCCAAATTAAGAAATCTGATTTGGTTTGGTTTTCAGGATTTAATACCGACACAACACTGCTAAGACATCGAATTCCTTTGATGTGTATGGTCATGGTTGCTTAGCAACGGGGTCAGAGAAAGATGACTTGCACCAACACTGGACGGAGCACAAATACAAAGTCAAAAGGAAAAGGGCACATTTGAGGTCTATGGAGGAGGGGATTGAGTAGTGCTCCTTCCCACAAATCCACCTGCTAAACAACATGAAGCTCTACGTAAAGAAGATGTTCCACAGCAGAAATACACCACGCGCCCCGACCGGCACCACAACTCAGGACCTACCAGATGACACCAGAGAGATTATAGGTTAGTGGCCACAGGTGTAAAACCTTCTCCCAAGCTATTGGCAACACACCTCCACCTAACGCACAAAGGCAAGCCCCGCAAACGCAGTTATCATACTGACATCGATTCTCAGTGGTCGCACATCAAGTGGGAACACACCAACAGCAGCCAAATAATGTAATTGCCAGCCATTAAAGGGGGAAAAAAATCAGTGCAGATGCCTATTTTATAGTCAAATTTTGTATCTCTCACTTTCATATTACCATAAATAATAACCCATTCAGGTTATCACGCTAATGTCTGACATACAATTTGGAGCCCAAACTATCCCGATGCATCTGGTTCATCCGGAGCCGCCTGATCCCAAAATGTGACGGCTGAGTCTCATTATGAACTGATAACGTTTTTTTTCACCTACAGAACACCGTACAGTAATACCACGGCATGAGGGGAATACATATTACATAGTGTGTGTGTGTGTGTGTGATTTATAAACATGTTGTTGGTAAAATAATTTTCATAACATGCTGTGAAATAGGGGCTCAGTTGTGGGGTACCTTTCCATTGGTATTGCTGACAGTTGGGTCCAGCTACGAGAATGGAAGTCATACGTATTTTACTTCGGTATGTGAACAAGCTTTGTGGGAAATATGCGCCGAAGCATTTCAATGACAAGAGGTTTCCTACCTCATTCTTTTTCTTCTTCTTCTTCTTCTTGGTTTTCTGTTTCCTCTGCCTCTTCTGGAGGAGTATGGTCTCATATTTGGGCCTCGGATGTTCCTGAAGCAGGATGAAGAGATATGTGTATAGTAGGTACACAACAACAAATTGTAGCACTTAAATTGTGCTTATCATTATAAGCACAATCAAAGCTCTTTCTATAGCAAGTTGTAAATCGGCTTATTTAATGGAATTGCACTTTCTTGTATCTTGTTCTTTTGAGTTTGTGTCCTTATGGTTGAAAAGCACTCATTGTAAATCGCTTTGGATAAAAGCGTCAGCTAAATGACATGTAATGTAATGACCAGTTGCTAGACATATTAGTCTACAGGTTGTGGTAGTGTCCGGTAGGAGTAACAGATATTGGTGCTGACATACAGCATGTGCTTTAGCAGGCTTCTATGAGTGTGTGTCTACCTCGTCCTCCTCGATGCCAGTCAGATCCCAACTGAAGCTCAAACTGATCTGGCGGCGCTTCCAGTGCTCCAGGAACAGCACGGCTACGCACACAATCACACAATCACACACACACACACACACACACACACACACACACACACACACGTCAAATAACTTTGATGGAAGTCTTTGGCATCTTATACAGATCCACTTTTAGGATTTATGGGTTTGTGATCAGCTCATTGTTGTTGTGACTGCTGGTTAAGAAGAAGAGGAGTCATCATCACTGGTTGAATAACAATTCAGTAGAATGGAAGCTAACATGCTTTAGGTGTTAAAAAAAAGAAGAGGAAAATAAATAATGTGAAAATATTTGGTCATCAAATTTAAAATTTAAAATTTGTTAAGATGCATGTTTTAAACATATTTGCCATCTACAGGACTTGTACTGAAGGTACAGGATGTTATAAGATGAGACTAGATTGACAAGCAACTTTACATTCAACCCACCTGCTCTCACACACAAATACACACACACAGACACACAACCTCACCCCAGAGAGACATGAAGATGGCAAAGAAGACAGTGGCGGGGTTGTCGAAGAGGTGCGAAGCTCTGGCGGTGCCGCAGGCCGTGCTGAGCTGCCAGAAGTCACAGGCTCCGTCACACAGTGGACACATGGTGAAATTGAGACGCTCGTCACACATCTCCAGACTGGAGAGGGGGGCAGGGGGGGGTCAAGAGTTAAGTAACAGAGCACCAAGAAAACAACAAACAAATAGGACCCAGATATCCTTGCTTTAGTTCAACCATTACAAATGAATGGATTTAAACACGTTACCGCAATACAAGCCTCTCTGCTTTGACCCTATTCATAGTCAGTGTAGGTGGAATCATCTACCTTTTGCTTCATGACACACACACACACAATGGTAGCTGTACCTTCTGTGTTCCTCCTACACTAGCCTGTCTAAAGCCAGATATAGTAGGTATCTGGGCAATCCCTGTCTGCCGTGTGTGTGTGTGTGTAAAGCAACATGTGTGCGTACAATGATTAGTGGTGGGAGGAAATTACGCCTCCAACCTGGCATGTTGGAGTTCGCATCCATGTCTACCTACAATGTTATTACCTCTATCATCCGGAGCTCTGTTAGATATATGAAAGAAAAGTAGTAATTGGCATATCATTTCCTGAGTTACAGTGACCTTTGTCCAGCAGAATATGCTGTGACAAGCGTCACCTTAATTGGACTGAAACATGTGACTCCCCGGCAGAAGAGGCTGCAGTACCTGGGTACATCAGAATCCACTGTGGCCACCCCATAGCAGAACACGATGATTCCCACTATGGAGGCCGGTATCAGCAGCTGAGTGTAAACACCAAGCCATGCGAAGTACAGGCCGATCTTCTCCCCGAAGTACTTCCTGCGGGGTCAGAGGTCAGGTATTAGGAGGTTAAGAGTGACAGTAAAAGGCCATAGCAAAATAGAATGTGTGGAGTTGAGCACCACACAACAGGTGTGAGAAGACCCATGCTGTGTGTGAACTTCAAATGCCAATGTTTTATTTAGGCCGGTCAATGAGTCTACCACGAAGCACTTCCTCTAAATAAATAACGGATATGCTAGGACTCACAAAATGTGCAACAATCAAAGTTTGATTACATTGGCAACACAATGAAGCAGCCAGACACATGGGATATGTATCACACAGAAGTCTCAACGTCACATTTTAAGTTTAACAGGTTTAAGTTGAGAGTGGCAGAGGCAAAAGCTCTCCTAGAGACAATCCAAATCTAGTGTTGGTGTAAGTTTACGCAGACCGAGAGGCTTTTTTAGGGGTCTTTAACAATGGGTGGTACATGCTGAGGGCACAACCTAAAAAAGCCCTAAACAGTACAGGCTGTCAATCATTTCAATTTTGTGCTTAAAGTTGAAAATTCTTTGATTAGTACAAATGCATTACATCATCTAAATGCTAAATAAGTTATTAGATTCTATGCACTATAAACTTGGGAAATAACCAATCAATCTGGCTTACTCATACTGCTGAGACTCCAATTAGCTTCAGAATTTTAATTTAACTTAACTAATTTTAGAATTCATTTCTGTAGAGGACGAGGGCTGGATTCATCACTCTGACAGTGGAGACGAGCTACAGATCCCTTCACAGAGCCTATGGAGCAGAGACACTGTGCTGTAATCAGGGCTTTCAAATAAATGGTTTCAAAGGTCAAATCCTGCCAAAAGACACTAAACATAACGCACCGCAAAGTTTGTATGGCTATATTGTGTGTTCTGTGAGAAATATCTTGGGTTCACATTTAGATGAAATGAAAACACTTGGTGGCATTACCTGACCAGATCAATGGGCTGGTACTTGTAAAAGGCAGAGTATTTGGCCCACTCGTTGTGCAGAACCTGGGAACAGACGGGAAGGAGTCAGTGTGGGTGCATGTTGTACGACAACAAACAATCCGCCGTGCCGGAGTTGATCCGAGGCAGAAATAATCTGATGGGTTGGGTTAAACGTCAGCAGAGTCAAAGACCAGTTTGAGTAACACAACATCAAAGCCAAGAGAGAGGGAGCGAAAGGAGGACCACAATAAATAACCTGGTCAAGCGGTCATGAGTGAGGCAAAATAAGAAGTCTTTGTTTATATTTTGTTCGCTTGTTTGGTCGCGCTTGCCCACACTCAAAATACTTTTGACTCCTTCTTCTGAAATTCAAGTCTCTCGACGGCGTTTGTTCTCTGCCTTTGCCGCAGATCGCTCTGAGAAATGTTTATTGAATTTAAACTCCAATCTGTGGCGGTGTTAACACAGATGGGGAGGAGGGACACTTTGAGAAAGGAAGGAAGAAGAGGAGGAGAAAGATTACATAGAGGGAACTAATGTTTAGAAAAGCATCCCTTGCTTTCCAGAACAATAAAAAAAAAGCATACAGCAGACTTTTATATATTTTATATTACCGCGCACTAAATGGCTCTAACACTGTATCGCATTAGTGAGTTCACTTTCTGAGGAACTAGATCAGTAGGAGTCTTTTTTGTAGTGTTTTCATTAGACGAACAAATGACAGGCAGAAGAGAAGCGGAGGGAAGGGAAGGCGAGAGAAATGAATAAAAATGGAGTGACACAAGAGGAACAGTTTACCTGTCTGTCGCTCTTCTCCTCCAGGTGTCCGATGACTTTATAGTCACCCTAGGGAGCAAGAAGGGAGGGTGAGGGCGCACAGGGATACAAACACGGAAATCTCTCACAGACAGCACACAGTGTGCATCTCTTAGGACTGATTCAAACACAACCTGCACCGGTTGCTTGGAACTCTCACTTGATCTAACGTTCTCTGTAAATTGAATACTGCAGTGAAATAAACTGAAATGGATGGGATTCTGTTGGGAATTTCCAACCTCACACTTACATCGTGAAGCGGGAAGGCGTCATCATACACTCCTTTAGCTATCAATGTGCTGATGCCTGGGAGAGAGAGAGAGCAGGAGAGTTATATACCACTCTGAGGATTTGAACATCACTCAGGGGGGGGGTTCTCCTTCTTCCTTGTCACGTGGATCATCAGAGGGATGATGGAGAACCACCCTCTCCTTGTGCAGAAACGTCACCAGTAGTTTAGGCCAGAGATATCCAAGCGGCTGGTGAAGTAAGGTTTGGGTCACTGGCTTTAAGGAGCAAGTTTACACCAAATGTGCACCAAGATGAGGCATGAAATGAGGCACCTACTGGTATTTATTGTGCCTCCACTCTGTGTGTGGCACCGTTTTTTGCTCTGCTTCTCAGCGTCGAGGCGTGCTGGGATCTGGCTTTATTGAGGGGCCGCTTTTAGTCTCTGGAACACGTTAATGCGCGGCGACACGTTTGGCCTGACCTGCGAATGTCGCGCTGACACAGTGAGCAGAGGATGTGGAGCACGCAACCAGGGCTCTTTCATCGAAGCTATTAATTGATTTGTTATCAAAAAGGCGGGACTAGGAACTTAGAGGTGATTAGCCATGCTTGTGACAGACAATACAAACGAATGAGTCCTCACTCAATCTGTTAGATACAACCACAACACCCAGAGAGACCCGCTTCAATCTCGGCCTGAGCCAGGAAGTGTGACCCACTTGTAGGGGACATGGAGACGAATGCGCAGAGGGGGCTCGGTCTGTGTGTGTGTTTATACACCAATAATGGAAAGGCAAGAGCAAAATAGAGGTTAAGGAGATACATGTCTCTTTTTCTCTACCATTCCTCCCCTGCGGCACCACCAGTACCCTCTGGTCAGACCTTCTGCTGTGGTGTGACTGCCAACAAGACATATGGTGGACACTGGAGATGAAAGGGTGTTAGCTTGTTTCTAAATGGGACTTTCTCTTTTAAAGAAATATGTATACATATATATACACACACCCATGTTTGTGTGTGTGTGTGTGTGTGTAATATATATATATATATATATATATATATATATATATATACATACATACATACACTGTACATATACATACACACACACACACACATGTATATATTTATTTTATTTTATATATTTTTTCTGACTTTCTGTTGTTACCATCTCAGCAGACTTTCTACGAATTTATTTGCAAAAGTCATAAACAACTGAGGTTAATTGCAGTGGTCCCGGTGGACGCGCGCAGTGGAAAGTGTAAATGAGCGAAGCAGTTTTCTAAGAACCGCCCGGTGGGAACGGTGTTACTAAGAAGCCCAAACAAAACAAATGATGTATCAGAGGATGTTCTCCTTGTTTTTCTGAAACTCTATATAAGCCGCCAGTTCACCTGTAGGTTATCAAAGCCCCGTATGCATTCAAGAGATTCAACACAACCTTGAACCACAAATGTGACAGTTGGCTTCCCGCTGCTTCAGTCACAGCCTAACATGTAACATTTAATCTTACCGCAAAGGGAGAAAACCTGCTCTTTTTGCAGTACGAGATGTTGTTCATTCTCTGGGACTCAACTGACAGGCCGTGGATGGTTAAACAATCCTTCAAGGTTCACAATATTCCAACCTCATATTTACATATTGCAGAAATTGATAATAAAGCAGATCTAAGAGCTGTAATAATAATGTGGAGGTATCAGAATACTCACTCGACGGAATCCACGGAAACTGCCTTTAATCAAAACTGTGGTGATGTCCCGTCTATAGTTCCCCTAAACTCATACACAGGGAGTCCCCATGAGAACACGGGCCAATCAGATCACACTGGGATTTTTCACGGGTGGGGATTAAAGACAAAGGTGCCTACACAGAGACGTTAAAGCATAAAGCAACATGTTCTACTGGACAGCCTGAATACAAATATGTTCCCTAAAAATGAACATGTCGTGTCCACTTTAAACTACTTTGGACCAGTTGAAGGACAGTGTGCATGATGAAGTGATCGGCATCACAACATACAGCATCTACTACAAAGTTTAAGAAGCACTCTTATGAAGCTGAACCAGGATTTATAAACTGAATACGTCTAATAAACCCCCCAAACGCCCAAAAAACACACAAACACACACTGGCCCATGAGCTTTTTGGCATCCTTACCTATGGTTTGACAGGTTCGTACACACACTGTCCGTCTCAGGATCTCATATACCTAAGACAGATGTGAGAATATCAGACTGGGGATGCAAGGAATCCTGGACAAATGTTCAGGAGAATCCGATTTAAATCTGAATGAACACTTACTATTCGGCCCCTTGTAGCGTTATCAAAGAATGTGTCTTTAGATGTGATGTTGTATCTGAAAAGAAACACACACAGGGAATACAAATTATAAAAAAAGTGAAACCAGCCGATCAGTTTATAAGATAATTAAAATGGCAACAAATATTTCGGAAATTTGTGAATAAACTGAGATGTGTGTGTGTGTGTGTGTGTGTGTGTGTGTGTGTGAGAGAGTCTCACAGGTGGAGTTTGTCCCTGGAGAAGCAATGAGTCAGAAACTTGGTGCGTTCTTGTTCTTGATGAGGTACTTTAGGCTGGAAAGGGTGGTTCATTTTTCTCCACACTGTGCTCATACTGGACCCGAAACCACTCTCCTCTTTTAGCTCGTAACTCTGAAGAAACACAACACACAATCAGTTAACCAGGTACAAGTGTTATACATTCAAGGGCCTTGCAACAAAGAGACAATCAACATGGACACAGCTAATAAAAGGCACTGAGATCTCACCGTCTTGGTGGGGACTTTTATCTTGAGAAACTCAGCCTCCCGACACAGTACTGGCCATGGCGCGTGCAGACGGGTGAAGCTGGGGCCGTAGGTCTTTAACTGAAACACAGGCAAAACATAATGGAGAATACAAGATCATATTATTTTAATCGAATGCAGCCTGGAACCTTCAGGGAGAGAGAAAATACACGTCTACCAAGTCTCGTGGTCAGAATCAGGGGGCACAAGCAATGGGGCGGTTCATGTGCTGAAAATCTAAATTGTTGAGGCAGGTGCAGAAGACCAACACAGAATCTACTGTGGCGGATCATCTTTGATTGGACTCAGGTTGTACAGTGGGGCTTAGTGCTTAATTACTGCAACTGCTTTAGCATCATTTCCTGGCAGCGTGCAGGTTTTTGGTCGCTTGGTAACGGCCGGCACCGCGGGTGTGCAACCTCTTAAGCACATCAGAAACATTCTACTGTACACAGAATGTACGTCTCAATAGAGCCACTGATTTATGTATAAAAAAAGTATTTTTTGTACCATAGACTTTAAGTTTTGGGGAAAGAGAGGTTGTTTGGCATAAAACAACCTTCAGTTAGACCATCTGTCAGCACTGCTTTGTTATTCAATACAGTCCACAGAGCTCAGTATGTTGTGCTGGGGTTGGACGTTACAGCTGAGCCTTTGGTCCAAGCCAGTTTGGATGTAGCCTCTTCTCCTCAGGCAAAGCCTGGAGTCGTTTCTCTAACCTGTTCCAATGAAACATTGGAGGCTTTTTTTATATTACCAATCATAATCTCCAGCAAACAAACCAAACACATTTCATACACAAATCCTGACTCATCTAGCTTGTTCTGCTCATGAATCATGGGACAGTTGCCCACATTGAAATTAACATTAAGATGCATTAGCAAAATGTGATAATTAGCGCTGCCAGATAGTGTCGAAAGGTACGTAATTGGATTGTAAATACCAGTGCCTTATCAAACCCTCAACTGCCTCTCAGTAAATCCCCCAAGAGACGGAAACAAAAAGAATACCAAAATCTAAGCAGCAGCCTTGTGACAGAGGAGTATGAGTAAGAGTCCATGACTAGAAAGTAGAGAGAGCGTCAGCCACGTAACCTTACCCTCATCGGACCCCATCAGCTCCTGCTGGAGGGGAGGAAGGGGTGAGGGGGGGGGGGGGGGAGAAACCTGAAACGATTCCCTTTCTCCTCTCTCAACTAAGATCTTTCCCTCCCCCTCAGCACGTATATAACTTTACCTTCTGCTACCCGCTAGACGCTGTCTGACTCACTAACTGTCCCTCTTGCTCCGCTTATATTTCATTATCGTTCCCTCTCTGCGCCATGTCCACACGGCCCTTTGTCCTACTCAGGGATGCAACGGAGCGTAAAGCCACATGAGCTTTAGGCCTATTTAATGAAATTGTTTTTGTTTTTGGTGGTCAAAACAATGGTCAAAATCAACCAAAGCCACCAAGTGAAGCTTGGAGGGCTGTGGCCTGATAATCAAACTGACAAAATGGCTTTATTTGACTCTTTTGTATTTCAGTCCACATTCTTCCGATTGAGATGAGTTAATGTTTGGGCACCAACTGGTTCTTCTATCTATTGGAGATAAAGTAATTTGAAAAAGACCAACAAATCGGCCTCTTTATTTATAAGCAGAGATTAAGTAATTGGAGAGTAACTGAAATTCCCAAGGCACATCAAATCATGGTGGTTGCTTTTTGTGAGCTGCTATAAATTGGTTTTGCTGTGGGCACAAATCATATCAATCATAGGTCGCTGAAGTGGATTGGAACTGTCGCAAACTTTGCGTATTAGCAAATATTGTACATGTTATATCTAAAATTATATTGCGATGAAAAAAACAATTTATCAGACAGCTTATCAGATGCAGGAACAGCCAGTTGTTCGTGAAACTCACAGCAGGGCTTTACATCTCTGTAACACCGGAAACCATTAAAACTTTCATCACAGCGATCGTATCATTCAAAGTAGACGGTAGAAATACGGCGTTGAGTGAGTGAGTGAGTGTGAGTGTTTGATTGGACACTGCTGTGCCTTGCTGGATGTGCCAGGTTCAGGGCTCAAAGTGGTCCGGCTGTCACGGCTCTGCCTCCAGCCACTGTTGTGTCTCATCCCTCTATTCTCTTGTGTGTGTGGGTGCAACTGGGTGTGGCCTTCATCACCTGCCGCATCTCCACACCTGCTGAAAATCAACACGAGAGAACCGGTTTCCATTCCACTCATCACCAGATTATTTTGCCAGGTCGGTGGTAGTTGATTATCGGCCGCTTTACATTTTACGTGATTGAAGAGTGCTTTTTTGTACTTTTTAAACATTACGGATTCTATGACTAACTTCTCCTTCCTCTTCCTTCCACCCACCGCCCCTCCATTAAAAACCATATTCACCTACTCTGATGTCTCCGTGTCTGCTCATGGGTCCAGCTTAACCGACCCTGAGGGAATAATCTGGACCCAGCGGGGGGGATTCTCTCTCTCAAGCGCCTGCTTCCCGGGGCACTATGGCGGGGCATCACGAGACGCTCCTCTGGAGGGTAGTGGATACTACGTGTCCCAACTCGGAGGACAACTGAACCCAGTGACCACCAACCTCTTCTCTCGGTGTGTAGTTGAATATGTCGTCGATTTTTGAGTTCTAGCTACATGGAGCGGGTGGGAGGACGTCTCCCTTAGGGGTAAGCAGATAACATAAGGGATGAGTTGATGGCGCCGCTGCAGTGGCTGCCTGTCGCTGTAGCGCTCGTGTGTTAACTTTGTTTTGGGACATAACACACAAAAAAATTCCAGGAAAAGAAAGAGTTCTTTCTTTTCTTCTTTCAACAATCTACTAAGCGACGGCCTGATGGGCCGTAACTTTTTTCCCTCTTTTGTGTGGCTTTTCTGTTACTTTTTTTACTTTTTACTTCTGGCAACGGAGAGCCACGCACAGCTGAACGGCGCATTTGTTTACTCGCGCGATCAGCTGATCGCGCTGAGCGGGCCTCTACTGCTGCCTGGAGTGAAGCAGGAGATCCCCGAGGAGCTTCAGAGAAGACGTCGGGGTTGCAGAGCTGGAGCTAGGCGGAAGGCAAGGTGGAAACACAAGCCATCCGTGCCTGTGATTTTAATGGGGAACGTACAGTCTTTGGCAAATAAAACGGACGAGCTAGCCGCGCTGGTTAAAACCCAACGTGAATATCGGGAGACCAGCATCATATGTTTCACGGAGACGTGGCTGCATGCACAGTTCCCGGACCACAGCGCGGCAGTACCCAGCTTCAGGACCGTTCGGGCGGACAGAGACGCTGTGCAGAGCGGTAAGAAGAAAGGGGGCGGGGTCGCAGTTTATGTGAGCGAGAAATGGTGCAACCCCAACCATGTGTGTATGAAGGAACGCTTCTGTAGCCCGAACATCGAACTGTTAGCTGTGGGGATGCGTCCTTATTATCTGCCGAGGGAGTTCACGTCTGCCATCATCATCACAGTGTACGTTCCTCCACCAGCTGACGCTGAGGCAGCAGTAGACACCATACACTTCACTGTGTCCGAACTACAGACCCAGCATCCCGGTGCATTTTGGGCCGTTACAGGAGACTTTAACCACATCACTCTGGATAAAGCTCTGCCAACTCTGCACCAGTATGTTGACTGCCCCACACGGAACAATAAAACTCTGGACTTGCTGTATGCTAATGCCATGGATGCATACAGTGCTACCGCCCTTCCCCCGCTTGGCAGGTCGGATCATAACCTGGTCCTGCTGACTCCAAGTTATGTTCCTCTGGTGCAGAGGCAGCCTGTGACAACCAGGACTGTGAGGAGATGGTCACAGGAGGCTAAGGAGGCACTGCAGGACTGCTTTGAGTCCACAGACTGGAATGTGCTGTGTGGATCACATGGGGAGGACATAAACAACTTAACTGACTGTGTCACAGAATACATCAAGTTCAGTGAACACACCACCGTTCCATCCCGGACTGTCCGCTGCTTCCCCAACAACAAGCCATGGATTACCAGGGACTTGAAAGAGCTTCTTAACAAGAAGAAAGCAGCTTTCAAGTCTGGGGACAGCAAGAACTCCTACAGGAGAAAGCTGGTGGCCAAACTCCAGCAGAACAACATGAGGGAGGTGTGGTCCGGCATGAAAGAGATCTCAGGCTTCAAGGGAAGACAGAGCCAACCAGGGGGCTCCCTGGAGAGGGCAAACGAGCTGAACTGCTTCTTCAACAGGTTCAGCTCACAACCCTCATCTGTCTCCTCCTCACACCTCACCTCCCAAACACCTCAGCTGACTTCCCCCCTCCCCCCGTTCCCCTCTGGTGAGCTGCATGGACACAGAGCCCCCAACTTCAAAGGGCTCCTCCACCCCCCCACACCTCTGCTGACTTCTTCCCTCCCCCCTCTATCTCCCCTGGTGAGCGGCATGGACTGTGAGGCCACTTCAAAGAGCCCCTCCCCAACTGACGCCGTGACCCCCCTCCCCCCCTCTCGTTGACGACTGACCAGGTTCGGAGACAGTTGAGGAGACTCCACCAACGCAGGGCTGCAGGACCTGATGGCATCAGCCCCAGGGTCCTGAAGACCTGTTCTTTCCAGCTGGCTGAGGTCCTTCAACCCTCTTCAACGTGAGCCTGAAGCAGCAGAAGGTCCCTGTGAAAGACGTCGTGCCTGGTTTCGGTCCCCAAGAAGACGACTCCATCTGGCCTTAATGACTATCGACCGGTCGCCCTCACATCCCATGTGATGAAGGTGCTGGAGAGGCTGGTCTTGGCCCGCCTCAGGCCGCAAGTGAAATCTTCACTTGACCCGCTGCAGTTTGCATACCAGCCTCGTGTGGGAGTGGATGACGCCATCATCTACCTGCTGCAACGAGCCCAGTCGCACCTGGATGGAAAGGGTGGCTCTGTGAGAATAACTTTCTTTGATTTCTCCAGTGCCTTCAACACCATCCAACCACTGCTGCTGAGTGAGAAGCTGCGGGTGGTGGGGGTGGACTCGTCCACCGTCTCCTGGATCACTGACTACCTGACAGGCAGGCCACAGTTCGTCAGACTGGGCAGCGTGCTGTCTGATACAGTTGTCAGTGGTACTGGAG